TTCTTTTTCTTTTTTGTTACAAAAATTATGATCGATTATTGAGTGTGTAAAAATTTAAACTGAATAAAATTTGTTTTTAGTAAGCAAAACCATCTGCTTTCTATTGTTTTTGTATTATTATAATTACATTGTATAATGATTATTGAATAATTAATGGAATGGATAATTGTTATGCAACTAAAAAAATGACATATGTTCAATTGTTTAATTGTTTATTTGTTTAGTAAAATGTTGTATTCAAATTAAATCATTCATAAATTCTGATCGAACACTAAACCATTAGCATAAGTAATGTATTTCGAAGAATTATTTATTTTTGTTTTATTGGTGTTCAGATGTTTATTGATATGATATGATATGATATGATATTATTTCCAAATTTGAATACAGCTAATAAATTAAGCCAAAAATTAGGGATGAAATTTTCTCTTTTAATTTAATATAGCAAGGTAAAAAGATTTAAATGTAATTATTATTAATTTAAAAAAAAAAATGATATTATATAGTATAATAAGGTCTGGTATGATATAAAATGATATGGTATGATTACCATCTCAAAATAAATATAATTAATGGTTAAATTTTCAACAAAAAATTTCATTTAATTTAGATAACTAAATTATTAATAATTTCAACAAAAAAAAAAAATTTCGTCAAAATTAAAATTAAATTTAAATTTTTCATTTGAATATAAAATTTAATTACAATATGCTTATATAGAGAGAAAATTGATTGATAGATAGATAGATAGATAGATGAAAGGTTGATTATTTGAGATGGTAGTAGTTGTAAGTAGAATTTAATAGCTAAATGGTCAAAGATCAATCAATCAGGTCATTAACTTTGGTTACTTTTGTTACAAAGTGAAAATGATGAATTAATTCTAGCTATTCCACTTTTAGCTTACAATCACTATAGGATATAACAACCTGTTGCAAACGATCCAAGTTCAAACCGATTCGATCATTCAACAATTTATCTTTCTTTCCTCTTTCCTTTCTTCCTTCCTTCCTTCCTTCCTTTCTTCCTTCTTTCCTTCCTTTCATTCAAAATTTCAATGGGATAATGTTGCTTCCATCTTCTTATCTGTTCATTTTAACTTAATTTGAATTTATCATATTCTGATATTTCATTATCAATAAAACTTATATTTTTATCTTTAATGTTGTTATATTATCAATATCGACTTTATAGTAACTATGAATTTATCACATTCTGATATTTCATTATGTTATATATCTTTAATGTTCAATATCGAATTTATAGTAACTATGAATTTATCACATTCTGATATTCCATTATCAATAAAACTTATACTTTTATTTTTAATGTTGTTATATTATCAATATCGCTTTAACTGATTATCATTGTATTATTTGATCAATTCTGATATTTCATTATCATTAAAATTTATACTTTTTTAAAACTTAATAGGTTATCTTTGCATTATTTGGTTAATTAATGTGAAATATTAATCAGCACTACTTTCATTATCATTAAAATTTGTACTTTTATCTTATCACAACTTTTTTTTCGATGAAATCATTGATGAATAAAAGTATATGCGTTAATATTGTTATATTATCAATATCGCCTTAATTGATTATCATTTTATTATTTTATTAATTAATGTGAAAGATTAATTGGTGCTACTTACTGTTAAAGTTTATATGATCCTAAAATTATCACTGTTTTATTTCTCATCTAGCACCTAGCAAATTATTAAATGTGAACTGATATAGTCTGGGAAATTTTGATAAGCTGAAGTAGTTTATCAGATTGGATGCTGTTCTAAATATTCCTATCAAAGAGAAAAATTAAAAGAAATAATTTAATGATTTGTTATCACTTTTGACAAAATGATAAGACTATACTTGATGCATTATTATTATGTGAAGTATTTTGTTGAATTTCTCAAAGAATCTAATAATTATGATAATTTAATTAATTAATTAATTAATTAAATATTTCATTTTCTATTCCATATAGCAATTTAACTTCTCCATTTTCACTTTATCTTTTCATTTTCTGCATAAAATTGTTTATTTCTGATACATTAATGTTACAATAATCTTTATTTCAAATTTTTTAATTTTAATTAAAACAATTTACACTAATATGAAAGATTATTTTTGCCTATTATTATTTTTTTTTTCATGATTAGTTTCATTTAAATTATTGAAATGTTTATTGCAATTATGTGCTACTGATAATGTGGTGGAATTTTTGCACCTTATCATATCTATTTATTTCATTTTATATAAAAAATGATATATGTCGTTTAAATGATAAAAGTAAAAAGTACTGATATCATCCGATTACTGATAACTTTAATTTTTAAAGTGTTAAAGTTTAACGATTAATAGTTTTGTTAACTGATAGCGTTAAAGATTAATAGTTATCACCATCAGTAGGTATCACTGATTGTCATTGTTAGTAGATATCACTGAAAATGGTAGCCCACTGATATCATCAGATTATTGATAAGTTTTGATAAGTTTTTTTTATTGATAAGTTTAAGGATAGCAATTAGGTCAAAAATTAACAGTTATCATTGTTGGTAGATAACATTAAGATTACTAGTCTACTGATATCATCAAATTATCAGTAGCTTATTGGACATAAATAATGTCAAAGGTTAATAATTATCACTACTAGTAGATATGATTGAGATTAGAGTCTACTGATATCATCAAATTACTGATAACTTTAAGGTGTTTGATAATGTCTAAGATTATTAATTATCTTTATTAGTGTATATGTATCATTAAAATTAGTAATTGTATGCAAATTAATTTTTTACATTTAACTAAAAAATTATGTAATTGTTTTTTCTTTTTTTTTTTTTTAAATTTCAATTATTATTATTTTTTATTAGTATTGTAGAATGCAGTAGCGTAATTAAATAAAGTTAGTTAATTAGTTTGTTAGTTAGTTAGCTGTTAACGGATGCCATTGGTTTAAATTTACGAAAAGACGATTCTTCCGCTTTAACAGTGCGGCAATTAATCTTCGCACTTTTTCCGGTTGTTAAACTTTATTTTATTTTATTTTATTTTTTTTCATTTTCTTTTTTCTTTTTTTTTTTCAAACAATTTTCTTCATTTTTTTGTTAACTTTTTTGTAATTTTCTATTCTATTGATTTCTTGTTTAAATTCTATGAAAGAGAATTTAGTGTTTAAATTTCAAACATTTTAGGAGTTAAAATAATATAACAATTTGCTTTAATGCATTTCTATATTCTATTTTAATTAGTACAATAAGCAAAATTAGTTAGTAAATATTAATAATATTTTGTATTTAATGATTAATTTAACAAAATGATAAGCTATCAGTACTACCATCTAACTTATAAGTTTTAATCATTTATTATATGTAAGCATAAATTTTCGAGATTTTTCTTTTTTCATTAAATTTTATCTCTTAATTATTAATTAAACTTTAACAGATAAATATTTGTCTGTTTAAGTTATTAGTTAAATAATGCCATTAATAAATTTATCATTAAAAATTTTTGGAAGCTAAAATTAAAATTACGATTTAAATTAGAATTATTAATTAAATTTTTAACACTGAAATTATACAAATAAAAGTAATATGTAAAGAAAAAAGAGAATTATTTATCAAATATAAGCTTATTTAGTTGCTTATCAAAACTGATAACACTGTAAATTAGCAAATTTTGTTTACAAATTCTTTTTTTCTTTTTTTTTTCATTTTTGCAACTATTTCTATGTTTTGCATTCGTTCTTTTTTTTCTTTCAGACGAAAAATGAATTTTATTTTTATCAACCAACAAAAGTGAATGATATGTTTAACATTGAAATATTTTTAACTAAACAAAACGAATACATAAACTAATCTTTCTCTCTCTTTCCCTCTCTCTCTCTCTCTCTCTCTCTCTCTCTCTCTCTTGTTACCATTTATCATTACAACTATAAATAAATATTAGCTACGATATCATAATCATTTTTCTATCATCTAAACAAATAATTATTCTATTTTTTTTACAATTTTTTATCATTTTATTTATAAAATTAATTTCAAAAATTTAAATTATCATAAACATTGATTATAAAAGGAAAAAAATCTGTTAACATTTCAAATTGTTAAAATTCTCTTTATTTTTTCTATTTCAAAAATTAAACATTTATGCAACTTTAATTAAAATAATTTTGAAAAATTTTCAAAATTTCAAATCAAAGCATTTCTTTTTGTTTTTTTTTCTAATGTTAAATTAACAGGTACTTTTTTCATGTGTTATCAAAAAAAAAAGTGAAAATAAAACTTTCCATATATAATGAAAATAAAATTTTAAATATTAACAATTTCATTGCTACAAAAAAAATCAGTTTAGTAATTAATTAATTAAAAAGAATTATAAACTAATGAAAATTGAATAAAATGTTTGATATTAATAATAACAATAATAATATATCAACTTTAAAAATTTTTTATGATATTATATTTAATATTTGAGAAAAACTTGCATTTTATATCTAATCAATAATTTCGCTCAGAAAAATTCCCGAGTAATCTTTTTAAAAAGTTTTATCTTGTTTAAAAAATAAGTTGCATCAATATGCTATACTATTTTAAATCAATTATGCATTTAAATGTTTTTATAATTTGGCAAATGAATATCGCTGAATTAGGTAACTTAGAAATAACCCACTATCCCATTAATCCGCTATTCCGTTATTCCGCTTTTCCGCTAACTTGACATTCCGCCATTCTCGTTATACACATGCATTTCCCACCCTTATTTCTTTTTTATTGTTGTATTATTCCTCATTGATTTAATGATTATCAAAACGTTATCAATTTTATCGATTGATCAAAACTGTTGTATCAATGTTTTTTTACTTTTTTTTTTACCAAATAGATGGATTTCATCGTCAATCCATCATTGCTAAATAAAATATGAAAAGATTTTAAGTTAAATAATTTAATTAATTTTTAATGAAATAATTTATAGTACGAAAAATTAGGAAGAAAAATGCGGCTGCTATATTGGTTAGCAGCCGTTATTTGCTGTATTCCGGTTGGAATTCGAGCATGGAATATATTTACATTCTTTTCTACAAATCAGGTTTATCTCATTAATTAATTTTTTTTTTTATAAATACTTTTAAAGTGTCAATTATTTATCCAATTAAATCTTACTTCCTTTATTTGTTAGTAGTAAAATGACAATTTGAATTATTTCTTGGCTAAAAAAAAAAAGAAAAAATATATAAATTTATTATTATAAAAAGCATCGATTTGAACTTTAAAATAATTGATAGTAAAATATAGCTATTCTAGCTTTAATTTTGCTAGTAAATTATTTGCTATTTTATAACTAATTCGCTTAGAATTCATCAAATGTTAAAATAATAAATTTGAAATAATAAAATTTTTATTTTTTAAAATATAATAAATTTTATTTGAAATGAAATTTTCAAAATATAACAATAATAAATTAAAACAATAAAAGTATAAAAAAAAATTATATCAGATAAAAATATTTGTCTCAAAGAAGTACAAAAAAAGAAGGGAAAGAAAAGCTAATTAACAATTAATTAATTAATCAAAAATTAAATCTATTTATTTTTATTGTCATTTTTTTCGTCTAACAATTTAAATTTAACTTTCTTTCAGGAGACTAATCATATACAACTCTATCCAGGTTCACCATTAGAAGCAGATCCAGCACTGTTAAGAAATAGACGACAAGCTTATCAAATTTATCAGGGTGGTGATAAATCAATTACAATGGATAAAACAGGACGTATTGAAAGTGGACCATGGGGTCCATGGATAATTGAAAAACAATGCTCTAAAACATGTGGTGGTGGTGTATTAATGGAACGACGAATTTGCAAGTATAATATTTTTTCAAAAAAAAAAAATACCAAAATTTTAAAATATTAAATCTTTTTTTCATAAAAAAGATGAAATTATTTATATATGTATTTTTTTTAAATGTTTTGTATTACTGCAATGAATAATTTGCAAATGTATTTTTTTAAAAAAAAAAAATACTAAATTTTAAATAAATTTTTTATCATAAAAAAGAAGAAATAATTTATATTTAATATTTAAAGTGATGAATGCACTGTATAATAGAATGAAGAATTTGCAAGTATAATATTTTTTTTTTTTTAAAAAAAAAAAATGCTAAATTTAATTATTTATAATTTATATTTTTAAGCGGTGAATGCATTGGACCGTCAACACGTTACGTGTCCTGTAATATTGATGAATGTATGGGTAATATTAAAGATTTTCGGGCTATTCAATGTTCAAAATATGATGACACACCATTAGATGGACATTACTATAAATGGTTACCGTATCCGGGAAAGAATAAATGTGAACTAACATGTAAACCGGATAATGCTAATTTCTACTATAAATGGGCTGATAAAGTAATTTCTTTTTTTGTTTTTCTCTTTAAAAATTTTTTGTTTAATAATTTAATAGTTTTAGGAGAGAAAGATTATACATTTTTTAATTTTAAATTAATTAATTAATTAATGATAACGATAAGTTTAATAAATAATTAACGATATAATAAGTTTAACTACTTATTAATGATAAAACATGTTTGATTAATTAATGTTGATTTGAGATAATTAAGTTAAATTACTAATTAATGATAGAGAATAATGATAAATTAATTAATGAAAATATAAAATTTATTAAGTTAATTAGTGATAGCTATTTATTCATGTAAATTTTAGGTAATAGATGGTACAAAATGTAATCATCGTAGCAATGATATTTGTGTGGAAGGTGTTTGCTTACCGGTTGGATGTGATAATAAACTTGGATCGGGTTTTGTTAATTTTTAATTATTTTATTATAAATTTTCTCTCCCTTTTTCTTTCTCTCTCTCTCTCTCTCTCTCTTTCTTCCTATCTCGAAAATATTATATCAATTGAATATGAATATATGAAATATAAATAGTAATTAATTTTAATATATTTTAGCAATGAAAAATGATAAATGTGGCAAATGTGGTGGTGATGGATCAACATGTAAAACTGTTGAAGGATATTTTGATGAACGCAACTTATCACCTGGTTATCATAATATTATTCGATTACCAATTGGTGCTACATCAATTTTGATTGAGGAATTACACTCAACAACTAATTCACTTGGTAAATTTATTTAAATTAAAAATTTAAATATATATAATTATCAGAAATAATTTATCTTATCACTTAATGCAAACATACATATTATATATATATATATATGTATCAGTAGTAATTTAGCTTATCACCTAATTCAAATATATACATATATAATCATCACAAATAATCTATCTTATCATCTATCTTATTAAAATAACTTATTAATTAAAATATATTAATATTAATTAAATCATACCTTAATATTAGACATTTTTCAGCAATCAAGAATACCACAGGTCATTATTATCTAAATGGCAATTATCAAATTCAGCTGACTGATAAAGATTTGGAAATTGGTGGAACATTATTCGAATATGATACACGCAAAAATTTAGACCATCCTTTTGAGAAATTAACTGCTAAAGGACCAATAACAGAAGAACTTATCATTGCACTACTTTTTCAACGAGGAAATAGGGTTTCTTTCTTTTTTTTTTTATTAATTTATTAATGAATTGATAAGAATTCATTTTTTATTTTATTTAGCATTTGCTATCATTTTTTATTTTCTTAATCATAAAAAGTTTTTTTTTTTTGAGAATAAACACGAATAATTCATTTTTTATTTTATTTTCAAATTATGTTTTAAGTTGAAAAAAAATAAAACAGATTAATCGGTGATAAATGATAATAGCTTGCGATGAGAAAGAATAATTAATATGAAATAACTTTAAGAATGTAGAATGATTAATATATGCGAACAAAATTTACTATATAAATTTATTATTGTATTAGCAAATTAACACTGCTAACATTATTTACCAATAAGGATAGCACTTGCTAACATTTATTATTGTATTAGCAAATTTACGTTGTTAACAATAGCTATTTATTGCTATTTATTATTGAAAATTATTTTAATCGTATTTTGTTATTACATAAAATTATGTCAAACAATATGGAATTATCAAAAAAAAAAAATTTATACTATTTTATAATTTTAAAATATTTCCAGGATAGCGCTATTAAATATGAATTTTCGGTACCATTAGAGGAAGAAATTCCATATGTCTACAAAGCTGACCAGTGGTCACCATGTTCGGTCACATGTGGAAAAGGTAGGTAAACTCTGAAATATTATTTTTTTTCCTTCCTTTTTCTTTTTTTTTCTCACAAAAATTTTTTATTACTATTCAATGTAATTTATAAAATTTAAATTTTACTTTTACATAAATATTATAAATAATGTAAATTTATTTAGAGAGAGAGAGAGAAGAAGAAAAGAAAACAGTATGAAATATTTGAAAGTTTTTATTATTCTTTCGACATATTTTTGAGGTAAAAAAAAAAGTAAATAAAAGATAAACAAATAATATTTAAAAATTTTATTATTCTTTGGTCTTTTTTTTTTATAGGTATTCAAACTCGAATTCCATATTGCATTGAGAACGCATCAGGTCAACGTGTATCAGATGAAATTTGTGAGGAAAATAATGTCACCAAACCTCTCTCTGAGAAAGTTTGCGAGACAATTGATTGTGATGCACAGTATGCATTTGTTTTTTTTTTATTTTTTTAAATTTTAATTATTCATTTAAAATAAAATCAAAATTGAGAAAAAAATTTGAATAATATTAAAGGAAAACATTTGAGGAGCAGAATTGTATTACTTTTAATATCAATGATAATGATAATGATATTATCTAATCTATTACTAGTATTACTTTTAATATTAATAATAATAATAACAATAATAATGATAACGATATGTACTCTATTATTAGCATTTCTTTTAATATCAATAATAATGGTATAATGATAATAATACCTAATATATTATTAGTAATACTTCTAGTATCAATAATAATGATGATATTGATAATAATGCCTAGTATTTTATTAGTATTACTTCTAATATCAACAATAATAATAATGATAATAACACCTAATCTATTGTTAGTAATATTTTTAATATCAGTCATAATAATGATAATGATAATATTATCTAATCAATTCTGTAACTTTACTTTGATACAATAGCTATATGACAAATGCAAATATACAAATCATTTCTTCTAAATAAACTTATCATATAATAAACAATTATATTTCAAATTAGTTTTATTTCCTAATTTAGTAATTAATTTAACTTAGTAAAAAAAAGTTTTTTAAAAAATTTGAAAAAAATTATTTTTACAATTTTACATTTTATACTTATAGATGGTATGAAGGAGAATGGGAGCCATGTAGTGTCACATGTGGAGAAAGTGGTACACAATATCGTGTCGTCTACTGTCACCAAGTATTCTTGGATGGTAGACGAATGACCATTGATGATAGTAATTGTAGTGTGGAACGTCCATCGGTACAACGACCATGTAATAGGTAATTTATGAAAAAAAAAATTATAAATAAGCTGTTAAATTTAATTTTTCAATTTTTTTTTAAATTATTTTTTTTTATTTTTACATTTTTTATTTGGCATTATTTTTATATTACATTTGAAATTATTTTCTAATATATTTCTTATATTTTTTTAATGTAAATATTATGCAAAAAAAAAATGAAAAGAAAAAAAAAACGAATGAAATTTTTTTAAAGTTATATGTAAAATTCAAAAAAAAAAGGAAAGTGTGATGAAAAAATTTTTGCAAATATTAGATTTTCGTGTCCGGAATGGCAAGCAGGACCGTGGAGTGCATGTTCGGAAAAATGTGGTGATGCATTCCAGTATCGTTCGGTAACATGCCGAAGTGCAAAAGAAGGTGAAGAAGGTAAATTGCTACCTGCAGAAGCATGCAGTGACGATGAAACGATGGAAATACAACGAAATTGTAATTTGGGTCCATGTCAAGGACTTAATTTTGTTACCACAGATTGGAAATTGGTTAATAAATATTATTTTTTCTTCTCCTTAATTAATTAATTAATTAAACTGTCGTTTTTCTCTTAAGTAATTAACTAGTTAACCTATCATGTTAATGCTATGAGAGTTTTATATAGTATGAAAAGAAAAAAACCTAAGATAAAATTTTAAATTAATCCAAAAATGAATTACTTAGTCATAAATGATTAGTAATGAATAGAAATATTATACATTACTATACAAAGACTCTCATAATTATCATTTTTTTCTTCTCCTTAATTAATCAGTTAATTAATTATCGTTTTTTCTTTTCAATTAATTAACCTGTCATCATTCCAAAAGAAGACACTTCAAACTTTTAATTTCAAAATCTTCTAAGATTCTTATTGTTTCAATTAAAGTTACAAATAGTTTTAATTCGCTTTTTCAAAAAAAAAAAAAAGCCCAATCTCAACTTAGTTCAAATTTTTGCAAATATTAAAATCTATTCAAAAAATAGAAAAAGAAAATTTGAAATTAAATTTTGTCTGAAATATGGAAATATATTTAGTGTGAAAAATGCAATGACACGGAAGAAAGTCGAAATGTCACATGCGAAGATATTAATGGCCGTGCATATCCATTAGAGAAATGTTTAAATGAAAATTCTACTGGAATTCCCATAGATACTCGGCCATGTTCTTCACCACAGGTAAATAATCTTTAATTACCTGTATTACCTGTAATTATAATTCAAAATAATATTAAAGAGCTTTCCGAAAATTTTTTATTTATATGTTCAAATTATGATAATTAAAGAAAAATAGCCAAATGATATTAAATAGCTTTAGAAGAACTTTATTTATACCTTCAAATAATATCAAATAACTCTTAAAAAATGTTTTATTTGTATATTCAAATAATATTAAGTGGTTTAATAAAAATTTATTTATATATTCAAATAATATCAAATAATTTTAAAACGATTTACATATATTCAAATAATATTAAATGGTTTAAAAAAAAAATTTTATTTATAAAAAAAATTTTTGCATAAAATAATTTTAGCCTTGTAATTATGAATGGCATACATCGGAATGGTCAAAATGTAGTACAGAATGTGGCCATGGCCATAATACACGACGAGTAGTATGCGCTATTCATCAATTAGATGACCTTATGGTAAATTTAATTTTAATTTTTTTTTTCTTTAAGTAAATGGTAAAATGAAAATTATTAATTAATTTTATTAATTAGTTAAGTGTATTCTAATTGTTTTGTTATAAATTTTTTTTTCTTTCAATAAATGGAATAATAGAAATTATTAATTAGTTAAGCATAATTAGTCTTTTTTCTATGTTAGTTATTCTATTAGAAAATATTAAAGAACGAAATTATTTTCAACTCTTTTAATTGTAGCAATCATTTTTTTTTTGACTAAATTTCTTATAATAATTTTTTGAAAATGAATGAAATTCTTCGTACTTTTTTAACTCTTGTCTTAATTACAGGTAGTTAATGATGAATATTTATAGGTAGGTAGTTAATGATGTTTACTTACAGGTAGTTAATGATGTGTACTTACAGGTAATTAACGATGTATGCTTACAGGTGGTTAATGAATACAGGTAATGAGACATACTTATAGGTAGTAGTTACATACTTACAAATGGTTAATGATGGATGCTTACAGGTAGTTAATAATACATACTTACTGGTATGCGTAATGACTTATACTTACAGGTAATTAATATACTTATGGTAGTGACTCATAGATAGTTATAATATATACTTACTGGTAATGACTCATACTTACAGATAGTTAATAATATATACTTACTGGTATGCGTAATGACTTATACTTACAGGTAATTAATATACTTATGGTAGTGACTCATAGATAGTTATAATATATACTTACTGGTAATGACTCATACTTACAGATAGTTAATAATATATACTTACTGGTATGCGTAACGACTCATACTTACAGGTAATTAATAACTTACTGGTAATGACTCATGCAGGTAATTAATAACTTACTGGTAATGACTCATACAGGTAATTAATATACTTACTGGTAATGACTCATACTTACAGGTAACTAATATACTTACTGGTAATGACTCATACTTGCAGGTGGTTAATGATGGACATTGTATTTGGGAGAATAAGCCAGAATCAACTAAAAATTGCACAAATGAAGAGAAATGCAATGGAACCTACTATACAGGTCCATGGAGCAAATGCTCAGCTGAGTTAGTTTTTAAAAAAAAAAAAAAGAATTATGCATAATACCTTATAAATAATAAAATTTCCGAATAAGAGTTTTCTTTTTTTTTCAAAAAAATATAATTCACCGAAAATAAATTACTAAATGAATGTTTTTAATATTGTAAATATTCTAAAGCAAATAATTTAGATGTGGTGGTGGAACACAAAATCGGATGATTGTTTGCTTAAATTACGATAAAAAACCTGTTCCGGAATGGTGTGATGAAGCAGAAAAGCCATCGGAAGAACAGGAATGTAATGTAGAAGCTTGTCCAAGTATGATTTTCTTTTTTCTTTCTTTGCTTAATATAATTCCATCTTTAGCGGTTACAATCATTTATTTAATAGTTATTACCGGAATGTATACTGGATTGTATGAACGGATTGTTTTGCTACCGTACAAAATCATAGTTTAAATTATTTAGGTAAACAGAAGTATATTTTATAATTGATATTTTGATTGTAGTAATTTTCAGCATGTGATGACAGTGAATTTGGATGCTGTCCGGATAATGTAACGATTGCAACTGGACCATATCTAGCCGGTTGTTCGAACTGTTCCGGTTCACCATTTGGCTGTTGTAATGATAATGTAACGGAAGCACAAGGTATTGCCGGAGAAGGTTGTGCCGAATTCATTGCTGCAATGGAAGGAAGTGGTGAAGAAAGCGAACAATCTATCAGTTCCAGGTTTTTCTTTCCCTTCTTTTCGGTTTAATATTCATTCAACCGGATAACATATCCAAAAATTCGTTGTAATAAATGCAAATCAAAAATAGTATGCAATTTAAAATTATATAATTTTAATTTCAATCATACTAATAACAAACAAAAAAAAAAAAAAAAAAAGAAAAAAAGGAATATAAGAAAAAATGAATTAATTGAAAATATAATTCAACTTAAAATGAACTAAATAAAAATGAATTTATTTACTATAAAATATTTTATGGTATCGTCTGGAAAAAAAAGGTGGAATAAGATAATATAAAATTAAAATTTAATTCTTTTTACTACTAAAATAGAAGGTTACAGTGAGGAAAAGCTTTGTGAAGTGATAAATGATGAAACTGGTGATAAAGCATTGATTACATGTGGTAATGATACTATCACTGATAACACAAATATCACGATAACAATGTTACTGGATGATGAAGATGATTTATTCCTAAATGGCACTTCCGGCAATGCTACTACGACTGCCAAACATTGCTCTAAAACAGAATTTGGTTGTTGTCCTGATTGGATTACAATTGCGAGCGGAAAAAACAATGAAGGCTGTCCGGAATTTGTGCTTGGTGCATATTTTAATATCATTTTCTGATATTATGATTAACAGTTCGATTGATTTAGATATAATTATTTATTTATTAATTAGATATAATTATTTATATAACATTAATAAACACCATTGTTTTTTCATGTATTTATTTAATCAATATTCTTATAAATAGGAGATATTATAAACTAATTAAATTCTTAATTACTTAATTAATAATCATATCAATAAGATATTTTTTATTTAACTACTTGACAGGATTAATTACCGGAATTGACGAAATAGGATGATAGGAGTAAAAAAGAAATGATATTTACATATATGATGATTAATAGTAGTAAGGATAATAATAATTAACAATAATAACGATAAAGTGATAATGATAATAATAATAATAGTAAATTTGAAGGTGCATGCAATGAAACAAAGTTTGGTTGTTGTCCGGATGAAGTAACTTTGGCTCGAGGCTCAAATTATGAAGGTTGTGGTGAGCCAACTTGCGCCGCATCGTTGTATGGTTGTTGCAAAGATCGCAAAACGATTGCTTTTGGACCGCACTATGCAGGTTAATTAATTTTATTGTTTTGTTTTTTTGTTTTTGTTTTTTTTTTTCAGTTTATATTTCTTTTTCTTTTCAAAAAAAATCGATTGTTATTTATTTATTTTTCATTTTTTTTATTATTGTAATTAATTAATTAATTAATCATATCTTTCCTGTTGGTATTATCAGTTTATATAAATATTATTTTATTTAAAGGTTGTGAACGATCATCATTTCCGTGTGAACTGTCAACGTATGGTTGTTGTCCGGATGGTGAAACAGCAGCATTAGGCCGAAATGGTACAGGTTGTAGTGAAAATTGTTTGACTACTAAATTTGGTTGTTGTCCAGATGGTAAAACAATTGCAAAAGGAGTGGAAAATGAAGGTAAACCTGGACCGGAATTCACCTATATAAATATGATAAAATTAAATTTTGTAATAGTTAAAAATAGAAAAAACTTTAGCAAACCGATATCCTTTAATTTAATTTAAGCTAAAGAAAAGTGGATAAAATTTTTTTCCGGATTTTTATCTAATCAATGCTGTAAACATTTGTTATATAACACATTAAGAATTTTTTCCTGATTAGTTGAAAATTTTATAAACCGGAATAATTTCTTTTTTTTTATAAATACGAGAATAATTAAAATGAAATATTTCATTTCAGTAGAATATTTTTTAGGATGTGGTTGCGAATATGCTCAATATGGATGTTGTCCGGATGGTAAGACAACAGCGAAAGGACTTAAGAATTACGGTTGTCCTGTATCATGTGCTCAAAGTCAGTACGGTTGCTGTCCGGATGGTAAGACAAGTGCTCATGGACCAAACAAAGAAGGCCTGTTTTATTTTTCAGGATAAACCTATTTCAGGATAAGCCTGTTTTTTTCAAGAGTAACACAATCATCACCTAAATTTTATTTACTAAAAGTTTATTTGCAAACATTAGCTAAATTAATCGAATTAATTTTTTAAACTTTTAAAAATAACTAATTAAAAAGAGCAAATTAATTATGTTAATTTTACAGGTTGTCCATGCCAGTATACTCAGTACGGTTGTTGTCCAGATGGTGAGACAAGCGCTCTTGGCCCAAAAAATGAAGGATGCGATGATTGTCGATACTCGAAGTTTGCGCTCTTTTTTTTTTTTTTTTCTACTTCATAGCCTTTTTTTTTATTAATTTTATAATCGTAAATAAAAAGGTAAAAAATTTAAGGTATGGTTGTTGTCCTGATGGTGAAAATCGGGCTAATGGACCAGAATATGCTGGTTGTCCATCTACCACATTAGCGCCATTCATTATAGGCGGTTCTATAGCACCAGAAAAAATTAGTAATATTTGTTTGATTAATTTATTATCATTAAAAAAATTTATTGATAAAGTGATAAAAGTATGATTAAAATGTTGATAAAATGATGCTAAAAGAAATAAATGGTTCCTTTTTTTTTTTGACAAATGAATAATTTCTTAAATTTAAAAATTTCAGTTTCATGTTCATTGTCACAGGATCAGGGTACAATATGTCATCCAGGTTATAAACTATTATGGTACTATGACACCTCAGAAGGTCGTTGTAAACAATTTTGGTATGGTGGTTGTGATGGTAATGATAATCGTTTTGCAACTAAAGAACAATGCGAAACGATTTGTGTGAAACCACCAGCAACTGGTTTATTTTAATTTTTTTTTTTATTTATTTATTTAATTTATTTGTTTGTTTGTTTGTTTGTTTATTTATTTATTTTTTATTTAATTTATTTGTTTCTTTATTCATTTTAGTTATTTGTTTATTTATTTACTTAATTAACTTGTTTGTTTATTTTTATTGTTTCTATTGTTACTTTCGTTTTTTTTCTAATTAACTAAATTGTATTATTCAATTGATTTTTCTACTTTAAATTATTATTAGTAATACTTTTTTTCCAGGTCGTTGTTATTTACCTAAAGTAGAAGGACCATTACGATGTAATCAGTTATCAGCACGTTATTGGTATGATTATACAACCAAACAATGTGGTGCATTTTGGTGGCGTGGTTGTTTGGGTAATGATAATAATTTTGAAAGTTGGGAAGAATGTCAAAACTTTTGCGCTAATATTGGTCCAATTGAAATAGAAACACAATCAATATTAAAGGTATAAATAGATACAATCTAAGATATAATAATTTTTTTTAATTTATCTTTCATTATTTAATTTATTTTTTTTAAAAAAAAAGAGATGAAGAGAGAGAGAGAGAAAGAGAGAAGAAAGATGAAATATAAAAGAATTTTAAAGTTAAAATTTGTATTTTTAGGCAAATCAAATTATAACAAGTGTGTCACCATTTCAATATACACCGTTTGGTGCTTTATCTAAACAATCCAACGAAATTGATGACACATTTATTTCAATTGAACGAAAACAACCATTGCCAGTATTTATTCCAAATGATCGACAGTTAGGCTTAGCACAAGAACCTATTCAAGTACCACTACCACAATCACAACAACCTTCCTCATCATCTCAAAAACGAGGTAAATATACGATATAATCTTTGCCTGTGTTACGTGTATGACACGTTTATACGTGTTTATGCTTATTTATATTGTGATAACGTGTACATAGTGATACACTGATAACGTGTATATACTAATGTTATGATGCATACATACTGATAATAAGATAATGTACTGATACATATGATAATGTATACACTGATAATGTATGCATATACTGTGATAACGTATACATACTGATAATGTGATAACGCATGCATACTGATACTATGATAACGTATATTCTGTTACTGTGATAAAAAAAAAACGAAAATTTTGCAGTAACAATTGAAGAAATATGTCAATCAACCGCTGATAGTGGGCCATGTGGTAATTACGAAGATATGTACTATTATGATTTCTTCTCCGGTAGATGTCATCTTTTCATCTATGGCGGATGTGGTGGTAATTTAAATCGATTTAAAACACGAGAAGAGTGTGAAGCTCGATGTTCACATATTGGTATTGATAGAAGAAATTGTAAGTTGTGTTGTTTGATAATCACTTCTTTTAGTTGTTTTTTTTTTTAAATAATTTAATTAATTTGAATCATTTTGAAAAGAGAAATGAATATGATAACACTTTATGTAAATATGAATAGTTAGTAAAATGATTGTAATTTATAACAAGTATAAATGAAATTGTATTAAATAATTAATTATTTATTTTTATGATAAGTGTTATATATTATCGAATGATAATATGTCATCAAATGGTATTTGTCGAGAATTAAGTTAATGTCATATATTATCAAATAATATTGATCGAGAAAACAAATAACTATAAAATTAATTTTTAAGAAATTACCATGCAAAAAAATAATTGAAACATTAGGATTTTTATCATGGTACTGGTTGTAATTCTTATCAGAATGATTACTATCATATTATATTCTTATCAGAATGATTACTATCATATTATATTCTTATCAGAATGATTACTATCATATTATATTCTTATCAGAATGATCACTATCATATTATATTCTTATCAAAATGATTAGTATCATATGAAAAAAACTCGATATACTTTTTTTTTGGTGGAATTAAATTTAAATGATGGAATTAAATTGGGATGGTAAATAAACAATGAAATAATTCTCCAATAATGATAATAACTAAGTAAATATGAATTTCAGTAGGACGAACGCAACCACTTTCAACAGTGCAACAAAATGAATTAATACCTATTACATTGCCTAAGACAGGATCATTTGGTATTCCAGTAACAGGTAAATCATTGATAATAACAAGTAAATCATTGATAATAACAGGTAAATCATTGATAATGACAGTCAAATCATTGATAATAACAGGTAAACCATTGATAATGACAGGTAAATCATTGATAATGACAGGTAAACCATTGATAATGACAGTTAAATCATTGATAATGACAGGTAAATCATTGATAATAACAGGTAAACCATTGATAATGACAGTTAAACCATTGATAATGACAGGTAAATCATTGATAATAACAAGTAAATCATTGATAATAACAGGTAAACCATTGATAATGACAGGTAAATCGTTAACGACTAGTGAGAAAGAGAGGGAGAAGAGGGAGAGAGAGAAAATAACAGAAAAGATATTCTGAAATTTAATCTATCATTTATTCATTTTCTAATTTAATTATTAAATTATATAGGTCGTTCTCGTGATGCATGCAATGAACGAATGGATGTTGGTCGATGTAATGGTGCATTTCAAAGTTATTACTTTGAACGTGCAACTGGTACCTGTGAACCATTCCGTTATTCCGGATGCGGTGGTAATGCTAATCGTTTTCAAACCAAAGAGCAATGTGAAGAATTATGTGTGCAACGTGCTTCCGGTGTTAAATCAGGAACACTTCCATCTTCTATTCCTGATCAAGCATTCAATCAACTTATACCAATATCGGATGGTAAAAAAAAAAAAATTATCTTATTTATATATATTTTTTTTATCACAGTTTTTAAAAATAGGCAAAAAGAAACAGACAAAATTATTTATTACATTTTAATCATAAATTAAATTATAATTATCATTTTAATTATTTTAATTTAATAAATGCATTCTTATATTTCATTTTTTCTGCAGTTTCTGAGAAAACAGAATTAACATCAAAATGTGAACTTCCAAAAGATAGTGGTCCATGTAATCGTTTTGTTACAAAATGGTACTACAATAAAAGTGATGGTACCTGTGCACGATTTCATTATGGTGGTTGTGGTGGCACTGATAATCGTTTTGATAACGAACAACAATGCAAAAATGAATGTGGTAATTTTATTGGTTAGTTTTAATTTTGCCTCTTTGTTTCTTTTTTTTGTTAAATGGAAAAAGTAGAGAAAATTTTAATGTAATAAAAAAAAGAAAGTAAGTAGTTAATAATTTAAAATATATACAAAATATGATAGTTATGAATAAATTAGCATAAGTTAAATTAATTTTTATCATATCATTTCATTTTAATTTTTTGTCCATTGTTTTCTTTCTTTATTCTCTCTTACTTATCTCAATTATTATTTTTATTTTTTGTTAAAATTATATATGAATTACTGAAATTAACTAAAAGCTTTTTATTTAAAAAAAAAAGATGTGTAATAAATCTTTTTTCGTTTTTTGTTAATAACTATGTATGAATTACTACTAAAATTAACTAAAAATTTCCTCCTTTAACAAAATTTAAAATTTAAAAATAGAAAAAATAAAACAGATAAAATGAACGAAAAGAAGAAAGAAAGAAAGAAAGAAAGCAAATAACGTATACAATGTAACTTTAAAAAAAAAAAATTTTTTTTTTTAAATTAAAATTACAAATTTATAGATCCATGTAAATTACCGAAAGTAAATGGTCCATGTTCCGGTCGACATAAACGATACTATTTCAATGCTAAAACCGGTCAATGTGAACGTTTCGAATATGGTGGATGTTTAGGCAATTCCAATAATTTTTTGCATCTTACTGATTGTGAAGCTAAATGTTTATCATTCGATGAACGTTAGTGATTATAATTATAAATCAATTTTTTCTTTTTTTTTTGTTCTAATAAAATTATATTAGAATCAATTATTATTAATTATTACTTTTCTCTTGTTAATTATATTCATTTCATAATGAATTATCACTGTTATCAATATAAATTTGCTATTATATTATAATAGATATATTAAATATTGTTATTAATTTAATTACATATTTCATAAATTGATAATTTTTCTTTTTTCTTTTTTTTCATTTTAAAATGTGAAATTATCAAAACAACATTACAGATTATGTTAAAATAAAGATGAAAATTATAAATGAATAAATAGTTTTCTTTTTTTTTTTAAAAAAAAAAATTTTCAAAGTTTTCAACTTTTAAGTTGCATATCAATCAGATTTGTCTGTATTTGTTGTTGTATTTTGTTTTGTTTTCATATTTTTTTCTTTTTTTGATAAAATTAAAATTAATTCTTTTATGAAAAATATATTTTTATCATTTCTTATTTTCTTTTTTCTTTCTTTTCTCTTCAGGAATTTTTTTTTTCAATTTAAAAATTCAAAATTTAAAACATTTTACCGCGAAAAGAATTATAAATAACAATTATCAAATCATTAATTTCAATATTTTTTTTCTTTTTTATCTGTTATTTGTTTTTGATAATAATTATTTCATTACATTACTTTGTCATAATGATTTTTTTTTTTGCTTTTTTAAAAACTTTTTAAATTCTATTTTTTTTCTTTCTTTTTTTATTCTTATAACAAATTTTTTTTTTTTAATTCAATGAAAATATGTTAATTTTGATGCTAGTAAAATAAAACTTTTTTTTTTTTTTTGATTTTTGCTAGTTTAATGTTAATAAAAATAATAGAAGAAGTTGGATTCATTTCATCAATGAATCTTTTCTATGAATTTTTTTTTTCTTAATTTTTAAAATTTTGACTTGTTTTTATTTCCATAACTTATTTTTTCTTGAAAATTTTCATAAAACTTTTCAACTTTTAACTCTAATCACTTTCTTTTCCACTTTCTGATACAATTATAAATGATATGATATTATCATTTTCCAATGAATCAACTCTGTATGCCATCTATATTTATTTCTTATGGAATAAAATTCAAAATAATTATTATCTATTATTTATGCAACATTTCGACAACTATTCGGTAAATTTCTTTTTTCTTCTTTCTCTGTTTTTTTTTTCTTTTTCTTACTTAATTTAGTTATTTTATTTGTTAATGTGAATTTTGTATCAAATTTAAAAAAAATTTTTAAACTAATTGAAATTCTTTTATTCTCTTTTTGCATGGTGTGTTTTCCTTCCTTTTCATTCCTTTTTTGCATGCTATTATGCATTATTCTTTTATTTTTTCTAATAAAATTTGTTTTCTTTCCTAATTAATCGTTAATTTCTAAAAAAAAAAAAATTGAAAATTGATTATATAAAATAATTATTTATAATTCTTTTAGAAAAATAAAATATATTATAATTTTTGAAATATTTATTTTTTAACAAGCATTCTTGTAACAACAACAATTTAGCTGATATTAAAAAATTCACTAAAAGATAGCATTGCTTGCTTTAAAAATTTTTAATATCAATTGAAATAAATTTTTGTATTCAACAATATTTTAATTAGTATCAGATGAATTAGTCTTTAAAATATTTATTAGATAACATTGTGATAAAACTTATAATAAACATTAATTCAATTTATTCTATTAGTAATAAAATATTTATCAAAATTGAGGTATTAATTCATTAGATTTATTTAAGAATTAAAAAAAAATTAGCATATACATATATATTATTCAACTGAAACACATCCAAATTTTGTTATGGAAAAAGAAAAATTATAAAGTATTTTCAAAATTTTATTTATACTAAAATATGTCTGCGCAAATTATTATATTTAATTTCTGATTGAAATGCATTTTGAAGAATTTATAAGCTTATCCTAATTAATATAATAATTTTATAATTGATATGATTACTTTTGTTGCAGTGAATAATATCATTAATATTTTGAAATTAATTAAATTAAAATTAATTACTTTTAACTATTTTTTTTATCATCAAACCATGCATTTATTTAATGTATAATTAATGTTTTGAAGTGATAATTATTAATTATATTAATTCATTCATTATACAAATGACTGAATGTTATTTGCAGTTGCTAAATTAAATTTTTATTTACAGATTTTAATTGGAAAAATTCATCAATAATACAACGACAATGTTTGTTACCTAAAATTAATGAATTATGCAGGTAAAGTTTTGTATAGCAAATGTTTTTTAATGATTTAATTATTATAACTTTGATAAGTTTTTTTTTTTTTATTTTTATTATTAATTTGATTTACTCAATTTTATTATAATATTAGTAATTTTAGATCAACTATAAAACGATATTATTATGATGAAACACTTAATAAATGTTTGTCATTTTTTTATGGTAATTGTATTGGAAATGAAAATGGTTTCGATAATATGAATGATTGCATAAGTAATTGTACTATGCAAACCAACCTTCAAGTATCTTTTTCTTTTTTTTTCTAAAATTAATTTAATTTTCTTTTTAAATTTACAAAATTTTTATCGATGAAAAAAATATTAATCAGTTCTACTTTATTTTTTCCTCTTTTCTTTTACTTTAAAACACATCATGGTTGCAATTTTTGCAAATTATCAAATAACTAATTAATTAATTAAATATAGAAGAATCGGTAAAGATTAGCTATCTAATCAAAGCGAATAATGATAATATTATCAAAATAGTGCAAGAAATAATACTGATAATAAATACAATAATTAATTAAAGAAGATGCAATTTTGAAATTTAATTTAAAAAAATTTTTTTCTTAAAAATATATGAAATATTAGATAGCAAAACAATTATTCATTAGTATAGGAATTAAATTGTGATATATTTTAACAGGATTTTGAAATAAATGCTATATCATTTGATAGATATGTAAATCAATTTTAGAAAAATATTCGACATAATGCTTACGCTGCGCTTAATCTTCACGTGTCAAATGAAAACTATCTGGTATTTTGTTTACGTATGTTTAAGTGAAAATTATTTTCTTTATTTTTTTTTACAATATATTCGTAAAACAATGAATAAATGATAATCTACTGTTTTGTTGTTGTAGAGTGATAATTTCGAAAAAATTTCAATGTCTGAAACAAGCAGCGCTATCACAATTACTACTACAATCACAACAACAGTGATAACAAGTGCTGATGCTTCTTCTACTACAACAAAATTCAACCTGAATAATAAATCAAGCAAGGAGACTAATGATAAAATGATAATAATTGATAATAATCAAGGAATGGAATCGTTTGTTACTCTACCTGGTATTTTAATCTTTTATAATATTTCTTATTTTTTTTTTTGTTTGTTTCATGAAATGTAGGATTTAATAATTAGTAATATTAATTAATTGTTATTTAAAAATTTACAGAGCTATGTTTATTACCACAAGATGCTGGGCCATGTTTTGGTGAAATATTAAGATGGTGGTATAATTCCGAGACAAATCATTGTGAAACATTTATTTACACTGGTTGTGGACATAATGCTAATTATTTTACTTCAGAAGAAGCTTGTTTAAGAGCTTGTGGCGAATATCGAAATAGTGGTACTTAATAATTAATTAGATATTTGAATAAAGTAATAAAAATTAGCATAATATCTTTGAAAGTAATTTTCTCATTAACATTTGTAATGTAACTTATGAATCTTTTGAAATGCTATCATTTACTGTAACTTTTGATTAAATGTTCTTATTGTGAGAGGATAAAAAGTAACTTTTTTTTTTCTTTTCCGAATTTTTTTAAAATTTCTCTTTAATACTTTAATTCTTATTGAAAGCATTTCTTTTTTGTTATTGATTAGGCGAATACTTTTAATTTTGAAGATGTATGTACGATGAAAATGGACCGCGGTCATTGTGAATTAGGTATAGCTAAGTGGTACTATGATATAAATGCTGGTCAATGTCATATGTTTATCTATACTGGTTGTGGCGGTAATGGTAATCGATTTTCCTCAAAAGCTGAATGTGAACATTTGTGTACCACAGAGATACAATTTTATAGTAATAATGATGGTTAGTTAAAATTTATTATTTATGAAAGGTTTGTCGTTTGATACTCGAATAATTATAATACAGCAGTAAGATTAATAAACCTTTATTTTTACGAAAACGTATTATTAAAAATCTGAGCAATAAAAAGAGAATTTATAAAGAACCGGAAGAAATTGAAGTTGGTTATGAGTACAATAGTTGACAATAATGACAATGATAATTTTGTTTATTAGACTTGGATTTATATGAGTGGGAATTGAGCTGTCTATGATAAAAATCATATGTGTTATAATTGGAAGTTTTACAAAAAATTGATAAATTACAATTTTACTTAAAATCACGTAATAAATTTTAAGAAGCTAGATTTAAGAAGAGATTGCTTATGATATTATGGGATTGTTTACAATTAAAAAATGATTAATTAGTCTTTATTGGTTTTAAATCTTGAGAAACTAGTCTTATGAGGAGTTAGTTTATGATATTATGAGATTAGTTACAATTGAAAAATGATTAATTAGTTCTTATTAATTTTCCTCTTTCTTATTGTTTTAGATAGAAGTTTTCGTGAAATTATAATTCGCAACAATTTATAAATGAAATTAAAAAACATATATATATGTGATTATGTGATATTTATATAATTTATGATTTTATTTTAAATTATTTTAGGGAAAGATATTTGTCAATTAGATCGAGAAAGTGGTCCATGCGATGATCCAGTAACGCAGTGGTATTTTGATTCAAATATGTCACAGTGTATGCCATTTACATATGGTGGTTGTCGCGGTAATGGTAATCGATTTAATAGTCAAAAACTTTGCGAGCAAAGATGTTTACAAAAAACTGGAATGGAAGTAATAACGAATGAACGAACAGAAGGTAAATTTTAAATAAATAAATTATGAGCAATAATTTGAGTAATTTATCCATATTATCTGCTAGGTTAAAGAAACGAAATTGTTTGATAAAGTAATATTTCTCAATTTTTCAATTGGTTTGCAGCTAATTTATTCATTCATTTAATTTCACGCAAAAGGAATTGCTTGAAATAAGTGATTGATATTACTGTTAGCTGATATGATATGACCCATATTGTGTGATATATGATATGGCACAGTATGATATGATATGATATGATATGATATGACATGACACATATGATATGGTTTGATATATGATATGGCACAGTATGATATGATATGACATGATGTGACATGACACATATGATATGGTTTGATATATGATATGGCATGGTATGATATGATATGACATGATGTGACATGACACATATGATATGGTTTGATATATGATATGGCACAGTATGATATGATATGACATGATGTGACATGACACATATGATATGGTTTGATATATGATATGGCACAGTATGATATGATATGACATGATGTGACATGACACATATGATATGGTTTGATATATGATATGGCATGGTATGATATGATATGACATGATGTGACATGACACATATGATATGGTTTGATATATGATATGGCATGGTATGATATGATATGACATGATGTGACATGACACATATGATATGGTTTGATATATGATATGGCATGGTATGATATGATATGACATGATGTGACATGACACATATGATATGGTTTGATATATGATATGGCATGGTATGATATGATATGACATGATGTGACATGACACATATGATATGGTTTGATATATGATATGGCATGGTATGATATGATATGACATGATGTGACATGACACATATGATATGGTTTGATATATGATATGGCATGGTATGATATGATATGACATGATGTGACATGACACATATGATATGGTTTGATATATGATATGGCATGGTATGATATGATATGACATGATGTGACATGACACATATGATATGGTTTGATATATGATATGGCATGGTATGATATGATGTGATATGACAGTTGATATATGATATATCATGTAACATGATATTATATGATGTGGTTTAGTATGATATGGTGATACGATATGATGTGATCATCATTATATAATATCATGATACGATGATTATGATATGACATATGGAGTATGATATGATATGATGATGTGACATATGATATGATGTAGTATGATGTGATAGGTGATTATATGATATGTAGTATATGACATGACGATATGGTATGGTGACATACATGGTGTGATATACAGTATATATATAGTGATATGATAATATATGATACGAGATGATATGGTATGATGATATGATACGATATGATATGACATATAGTATACATGATGTGATATAATATGAAATGTGAAAAATTGTTTAACAGTTAAATTTCTTTTTATACTCCAAGTATGCATCAGTTGCAGACAATTGTTTATTGCCATTCGAAATTGGTCCATGCCAAGATAATCAACAACTATGGTATTTTGATAAGTCACTTGGATACTGTAAAACATTTATGTACGGTGGTTGTGAAGGCAATCAAAATCGTTTCTTCACCGAAGATGAATGCATGCATTATTGGTAATTATTACTAATTATAAGATTGTTCTAATGAATGTTTGATAAAATTAGAATAATTTATGAGAAAATGGCATTCTTATTTGATAGGAAATAAATAAATTTATTTCAAAATATAGTCTTTTTTTTTATTTTCTTCTCGTTTTTTCAACTAAACAACTATTATGAAGTATTTATTTGTTTATAGCTCAATTCATCTTTATAAGAAACAAATGGAAATAAGCCATCCAGTGCTTATACTTGTTGGCTATAACCCAGTACCACTGGGATCAACAATAACATTAAGATGTAAAACTAATGGACAATATCCCATACAATGGCATAAAAATGGTATATTATTTCAAGTAACCAATAATGATCAAAGAATATATGTAAGTACTATTTTTTTGTTAAATTTTTAAATTTCACAGAATTTTCAAAATTTCCCATTTCACTTCAGACAGTTTATTCTATTCAAGTATCTTATCAATATTGAACACTGTTACACTGTTGTTACTCCTTCATTTGACATTTTTTTGCATACTTGAAAAAATTTATTCATTTTTATTTGAAATATTAAAATTATACTTGCTAAAAAGTTATTTCCACTATTCAATCTTTTCTGAATTCAATGATTTTAAGGTTGTAAGGATAGCAGGAAAGATTTCAAAGTTTCAAAATTTTAAGTTATGTAACATAAATGGAAAATTTTTGGCATCCATTTGTAAAATTTATTTGCAAAAAAATTAGTCTTTATGGTAATGCTAAGCATCATTAACCATTAATCATAATGATCTTTATTATCATCGTCATCTAAATACTATAAAAAAGTTAAATTATGATGACTTTTTATGTTAGGGATGACCTCCGAATTAGTTTATATAGAAATACTTGGAATGAATATGGGATAGTTTATTATTTATTATGACTTATTAGTTCTAATATTTTTTTAAAAAATCTTTTAATAAATTTATTTCATTAATGCATATAAATTAATATAAAATTTGCAGATGAATGATGATCATAGTGAGTTACATATTACTAAAATACAACAATCAGATGTTGCTGATTATTTATGTTCGGTTGGATTAAATGCTATTTTATCCAATTCTATTCATTTAAATGTTAAAGGTATTAAATTTGATTTAATCTAAATTATGGTCTACTATTTTTGAAAGGTATGTTTTGATGGAAGAAAAAAAAATAAAAGAAAATGCTAAATTTTTTTTTCCATTGAATTATAATATAATCATTTCTAATGTTTGTTTTTTAATTTCTTATTTTTTTCTAATTTCTTGTTTAATCTGTTAAAATTTAAAAAATGATGCATTTCAGATGTAGAAATGATAGAATCATGCATTGATAAAGGTAATCAGGTAACATGTAAACTGATTAATAAAATTGGATTATGTTCTAATCCACGATATAGTAGTTTTTGTTGTCATACTTGTTTTGTAACCAATAAATTTACCTAGATTAATGCTTATACTCTATAGGTATTCATTGTATCAATATTAAGATAAGTGATAGGGATAATTGTTAATTAATATTAGTAATATATTAATTATAATTACATTTCATTATAATTTTTAGTAGAATAATTACACTTCTGATATGCAAAATTAGTTAGAAAATTACGATTTTTATCACTGAAATTATCATTTATTAACCAAATTATTTTTTGCATTTTGTCATGTTTTATTATTTAAATCATTTTCAGCGTAAACATTTATAAACTTCTAATAATCAAATACACAGTAAATTAATTTTTTTGCATATCTGATAAAACTATTTATTTGCCTACTACTTATTTACCTTCACAATTTGATTAGATCTATGCAATTATTGTTCTTCTTGAAATAAGTTACATTGAAATTTAATTGTTTTAAATATTGCCATCTATCAAAAATTTGTTCCATTATTTCTTATCATTTCTTTCTTTTCTTTGCTTTATTATTTACAATTTGAATATATCACTTGAAATATTTAATTTTATGATCCAATTATAATATCGTAAATGTAAATGTATATAATTTAATGATTAAAATGAAATGAATTATCCAATATATCGGACAATTCTGATATTTTCATTACGTATAAGAAAAAAAATAAAATGCAAATCCATCTATCATAATTTCTTATTAATATTAGTGTGGATAATTTATTATTAATTGTGAATAATTTATTGAAATTTATTTCAAATAATACTATGCTAGCAATATACAACTAATAAGTGAGTAAATTAAGTAAAATTCGCTTTGTTGTTTTGAAATTTATCATCCATCAGTGGATAAAATGTTATGTTTTTGCTTTGGAAACTGGTTATTAATAAAACAAATTTTATTTTTTTAAGTATTAAATGGAACATTTCATCTTATCTTATTAAACATATCTTCGGAATCTGAAATTTACAATTCATGAAGCATTAAAGAAAATAAAGCTAACATTGAAAATAAAATAAAATAAAAAACAGAAAAACCTCGTATTCACCAAATTCTTTTTATCAATTCACAGAAAACAAAAATATCCAGTGAAATTATTTAATTATCATAGACAATTCTTATCACTTACTTACTGATGCATTAGTTTTTATCAAATAATTAAAAATACCAAAATGAGTGAGAAATTATCTGCTGGAAAAATTACTATACTCCAATATTTGTACGACGAGATCAATTAATAACTAGTCAATTAATTAGCAGTAATTGAATGAAAGAAGCTGAATAATTTCAAAAGAAGAAAGAAAAAACAGACAAATCTAAGAAAATTTGAAGTGATTAAAGGATTAAAAAAAAAAAATAAAACAACAAACTTTAGTGTTATCTTATCAATTGATATAAGGAATGAACTTTAGCTTTGCAGCAATTATCTTAATTTTTAAAAAAAATAATTTTAATTTCTTTAAAAATAAATTTTATATACAGCAATGTTGCATTTTCCATTCCATCCGTTCATTTTTTTTTCTTTTTTTGTTAAATTTCAAACAAAATATTATTCACTGTCTTTATAAAGTAGTAATCATTTTAAACATAAAAAAAGCAAAAAAAAAAAAAAAAAACGAAAACGAAAATCATTGTCACATTTACAAATGACAATATTATATTTCGAGTTCTATTACAGAAACAAAATAATGGTAATGTAAAATGATTACCTATGAGCAAGTAATTTCGAATACTTTCAAAAAAAAAAAGGAAGAAATGATAGAAAACATTGTGATAGCAAAATTCAAAAGTGACTGAAATGGGTTAAATTAATTAATTTTACAAAGAATTACAATTTAATTAAATATATTAAACAGCTTTAAAGATATTAAGTAATGGCTTAAAAGATATTAAGTAATGAAAATAAAAATCACTGAAAAAAAAATAATATAATTCAATTCTTTTTTTTTTTTCGCAAGATTTACCAATCTCCTCCACCAAAATCACCACCATCAAAATCACCGCCACCAAAATCGTCACCACCTATATCATAACCACCTGAATCATCATAATCATCTCCTATGTCATAACCGCCACCATCACCGTCATAATTATCACGATTGCCTCCGCTCACATCATAACCACCGTAATAATCTTGCATTGTATCCTGATTATTTGTTGAATTTGTTGTATCAGCAACAGTTGATGATTCCGTATTATGTTCACCAATTGCATCTCTATTTCCGGAATCACCGACATAATAATTGTTTGTAATATAAGTATCGTTATCCTAAAAATTCTCATTACATAGTAAGTTCATTTTTGTCATAAACTTTTTTAATTTTTTTTTGCTAGAAATTTTGTTAACAACCATTTCAGGAATTTCGTTTTTTTACCATTTCAGTAATTTCGTCTTTTTTTTTTATATTTCTTTATGTAATTCGTCATAATTTTTTTTTCTTTGGTAAAAACAAAAGTATTATTTTTAATTTTTTGATTTCAAGCAAAAATAGCTCTTCATTTCCTTTTTTTTTTTTTATTAATAAAACAGAATTATGCTTTAATTTTTTACCTGCACATATCCTCCACCAAAACCACTGCCCATTCCCAGATGTGATGGATAGCAATGACCACCAAAACCAAATCCAGAATGTAAACCACCACCCCACATACTTCCTAAGCCAAAGCCCAGTAATGACCCCATTAACATGCCAGTCCCAAGACCAGGACCACTGCTACCACCACCGCCACCGCCACCACCACCATATCGTGGTCCATAACCACCTCCATTTCTATCCTATAAAAGAGACAAATGATTGTCGGAAAACCGAAAAAGAATTATTATACATTAAATATTTAAAATATTTCTAATGATTCATTACTCTGCACCAATTCGTTATTCATTTATTATTTCCCATTTATGAACCAATGAATCCGCTATCTAAACCTTAGATCGTAAATGTACAGATGCCTAAATGTACATTTATCTTTATGTAAATATACATCCGCTAAGCAAGCCCACCTTCTACATTTTTTAATTTAAAAAAAAATTTTTAAAAACCCTCTCTCAGAGTTACTGTGTATAGTGAATGTTTTGCCTTTCCTTTCTCATCTCATTTCCAATATTACCATACATTAATTATTCTAGCGTCTTATTCAGTAATTCAACTTTCATCCCAAAGAGTAAATGTAAATGGGCCATTCCCGGAGGTAGGTACAATACCGGGTCGACCCGCGGTAGGTGAGGAGCAAGCCCCTTAGCTTGGATTTCTATTGTTCAACTGTATGTTGTTTTGATTCATTATTTGAAAAAAAATAAACGATAACAATTTAAGTTCCAGAACCTTAAAGTAAATCATCATCTAATTCTTCTGATCAAAATAAAATCATCACAATTAGTAAAAAAAAGTTCTCACTTCTGAAAAAAACTTTTAAATCTTAAAAAAAGTGTAGTAATAAAAGCATACAGATTCATACAATAATTTAACTTACAATAATAACTGTGGTACCACCAGCACCACCACCATAATTTGGAACGGTTGATGGATACATTGGAGGTTGCGCTACTGGATTTGTTGCTGGATTATAAACCGGTTGACTAGGATACGTATTGGTCATTTGAGGTGGACTACTGGGATATACCGGAGGAGGATCTAAATTTAATGAGTTATAATATATATCAGCAAAGCTTATAACTTAACAGTTTTATAATACTAGTTGAAAAAGAAAAAAAAAATTAATTTAAAATTAGACAAATTAATTCTAGAAAGAAAGAAAAAAAGAAAGAATTTAGGATTTCCAATATTTTAAATGATATCATTTTCAACTAATTTCGACAACGGGATTGATAAAAAAAATTGAGTCTTAATTAAATTATAAAAATATTTCGAACTTATTCAATATTTCGCATTTTGTAATATTTTCAGGCGATATGATCCCGTTTCCCAGGAAAATTTTTTTACAGTATTATTATAAATTGATTGAAATATCAATTTCAAATGATAAAATAATAATAATAAAGTGATGTTTTCCAATTTATTTTCTAACCTAATTAAAGCGATAAATCGATGAAATTCTATATAATTCTAATGCAATAATGAAATTGCTTATTATTTTTAGCCTTGCAATGTTTTGAAATTTTCACTTGAAAAAATTTTCATTTTCAACTAACTTTGACAGCGAATATTGATAGACATACGAATTTTAGTTAAATTCTTGTTAAATTATAAAAATATTTTGAAGTTTGTTCAGCATTTTGCTCAGGATAATATTATCCGTCTAGAAAGTACTCTAAGAAAAAAAAATAACAAAACAAAAAAAACATACTATAAGTGGGTGGCGGTACATTAGGTCCAGCTGTTGGCAATTGTTGAGCATTATTAGCTGGTGGTGGTGGCGGTGGATTTGGTTTCGGTAAAGTTTTCATAATTTCCGTAAACCATGACCTGAAATTGAGAGTAAATATAAAATTATAGATTAAAAATTGAAAAGAAGATTTAAACGTTATATATGTAATAAATGAGTTAATATTATAATTTAAATAAATAAAAATTACTCTAAATCAGAATCGGAAGAGAACAGAAGCCAATGAACTTTGCTTGCTTGTGCATCCATTCCAATACCCACTAAATGATACAACGAATATCGTTGTGGTAATTCTGGTCGACGTACTATAAATTGAAAAGTTTAATCAAAAACTTTAAAATTATTTCAATTCTCTCAAATATTTGCATTAAAATATTTATGAATTTTTAAGCAAATTAAAGTATACAAAAATTTGCTCAAATTTGTGCTATAAATTATTTAATCTTAAGATACTTAATCAATACATTAATCTAAATTCATTTTTCCGTTTAACTTATTTAATCTTCTATTTGTATAATATTCAACCTATAAGTTATTTCTACTCGTTTTTTTTTTTTTTTTTTTTTTTTAATTGTGCTTTTCTTGTTTTTTAATTTATTAATTTATGCTAAATTAAAGTGGGATAGCATGATTTAATATGATTGAATAAGGGAAAATTTTAGGGAAAAAACCTGGCATTCGATCACACATTGGTCCGACACAAGTGTATGGTACAACATTCTTAAGGAAAACTGAACCGGACGGTTTTGAATCACCCTGAAATTAGAAACAAAATATGAGATAAGGCAGGAGATTAGTAATTAAACTTATGAAATGAATTTTAAATGCAAAATTGAATGAAATGCCCATATACATTCAGAACTTCCATTTTTTTCTTTTTTTTTACTGAAGCAATCGGAAAAAGTTGAAAATAAATTATCTAAAAGGAATACAAATTTATCATCATTATCAATGATTACAGAACCTAAAATAATTATATTATTAACATTCATCTAAATATTGATATCTTTATTTTTTTTAATTAAAAAAGAAAAAATTTATTCACATAAGAAAGTTAAACATTTATATTTCAAGATTAATTAAAAATGAAAATGAAAATATTACCGTAAACACTAACCTTTTTATCATACCATACGAATTCGGAATCACTGTATAACACAGCCCAACATTCTTTCCATTTTTTGCCCAGAAAACTTGATTTATAGCGTAATATTTCGCCTTCTTTTAGTTTACGTTGAAAATCGCCCATTTCTGAATGAAAAAAAAAAAAAAAAAAAAGAAAACGAATTTTATTTTTGATAAAAAACAAGTAGAAGCGAAATGAAGAATGATTAGAAATAATAAAATGAATGTAAATGATAAGAAATGATAAAAAATGCTAACGTTATAACATTAATTTTTGATCAGAAATTTTAATCATTCAAATATAGTTTTTAAAATTATTGTTCCAATCATTCAAGAAAGAAACGACCATAGATGATAAACTAATGATAACAATGATAATATGAAACATAATAGAAATGATAAAGATAACATTACATATTGAAAAACTTTTCTCGTTAATTTTATACAATTAAATTAATTACAATCCTATAATTTAATCATATTATTTCTTTAAATAATAAAAATACCAAACAGATACGAAAATTTAGAAATTTTTCAGGTCAAACAAAGCATTCCGGAAAAAAAAAGCGCTAACAGCAGTAAAAAGGTGTAAAATAAAGTTTTTGCAATCAATTGTGTTATGTTTTCAACAAATATTTCTAATGCTTCTTCTATTCACTCTGTCACCATATCCGGTTGCTTGGAGAATTCGATCGATTTTTAAATTTTCCAGCATTTTGCGCTGACTGAAGAGAAACAGAGGGACAGAGAGAGAGAGAGAAAGGAGGACAGAGGTGGGGGAGGGGGGAGAAAGAGAGAGGACAGAAAGAGACATGTCCTGAAATTCTATCCAGCAACAGTAGTGATAAGAAGATGAGGGAATTTAATTGATTAATTGATCGATTGATTGATTGATTAAATGATAAGTTAATAATCAATAACTGAATTTGCACTGACAAGGTATCTCAACAACAATTCATATTCATGTTACAATTAATAAAATTAAAATTGCTTGCGATCTTTATTGCATAATTAACAATGCATCAATTAATTAAGTTATTAATGAAATGAAAAAGATTAGTGATATGAGATATGATAAAGATATTTTAAAGAAAAACTTAAGCTTAATCATAAGCGTAAGTCTAAAGCTAAGCTGTAGCCGTAAACCTTGAAGTGAAGAAATTTATATAAATTGGAAAGATAATATGATAACAGTAATGATAATACTTTCAATATGAATTTTTAAAGTAAAATGAGGTAGAAATTTTGCAATCGTCCGCCAAACGAACGATAAAACGATTGATTATTTTGTAAATATGAGTTGAACAGAAGTAGAAAACAAATGTTGCACTAATCTTTCTCCTTTCTCTCTCTCTCTCTTTTATTTTCTTTTAATTTTAGATGATTTCATCACAATTCCAGAAATAATTCGTCATGCATTGATAGATGACGATGACTCATCTTTTCAAATATTTATCGTCATATGACGTCATCATATTACAACATTCAATAGCTAAAGTTTATTTACTTTTGTCTTTTGAATATTATATAAAATTATCAATGATCTGATGAGCATATGCATGATATTGCAGTGCATGCTATAATATGCATGATATTGCAGTGCATGCTATCATATGCATGATATTGCAGTGCATGCTATCATATGCATGATATTGCAGTGCATGCTATCATATGCATGATATTGCAGTGCATGCTATCATATGCATGATATTGCAGTGCATGATATTGCAGTGCATGATATCATATGCATGATATTGCAGTGCATGCTATCATATGCATGATATTGCAGTGCATGCTATCATATGCATGATATTGCAGTGCATGATATTGCAGTGCATGCTATCATATGCATGATATTGCAGTGCATGCTATCATATGCATGATATTGCAGTGCATGCTATCATATGCATGATATTGCAGTGCATGATATCATATGCATGATATTGCAGTGCATGCTATCATATGCATGATATTGCAGTGCATGATATCATATGCATGATATTGCAGTGCATGCTATCATATGCATGATATTGCAGTGCATGCTATCATATGCATGATATTGCAGTGCATGCTATCATATGCATGATATTGCAGTGCATGCTATCATATGCATGATATTGCAGTGCATGATATTGCAGTGCATGCTATCATATGCATGATATTGCAGTGCATGCTATCATATGCATGATATTGCAGTGCATGATATTGCAGTGCATGCTATCATATGCATGATATTGCAGTGCATGCTATCATATGCATGATATTGCAGTGCATGCTATCATATGCATGATATTGCAGTGCATGATATTGCAGTGCATGCTATCATATGCATGATATTGCAGTGCATGCTATCATATGCATGATATTGCAGTGCATGCTATCATATGCATGATATTGCAGTGCATGATATCATATGCATGATATTGCAGTGCATGCTATCATATGCATGATATTGCAGTGCATGATATCATATGCATGATATTGCAGTGCATGCTATCATATGCATGATATTGCGGTGCATGCTATCATATGCATGATATTGCAGTGCATGCTATCATCTGCATGATATTGCAGTGCATGCTATCATATGCATGATATTGCAGTGCATGCTATCATATGCATGATATTGCAGTGCATGCTATCATATGCATGATATTGCAGTGCATGCTATCATATGCATGATATTGCAGTGCATGGTATCATATGCATGATATTGCAGTGCATGCTATCATCTGCATGATATTGCAGTGCATGCTATCATATGCATGATATTGCAGTGCATGCTATCGTATGCATGATATTGCAGTGCATGCTATCATATGCATGATATTGCAGTGCATGCTATCATATGCATGATATTGCAGTGCATGCTATCATATGCATGATATTGCAGTGCATGGTATCATATGCATGATATTGCAGTGCATGCTATCATATGCATGATATTGCAGTGCATGCTATCATATGCATGATATTGCAGTGCATGCTATCATATGCATGATATTGCAGTGCATGATGTTGCAGTGCATGCTATCATATGCATGATATTGCAGTGCATGCTATCATATGCATGATATTGCAGTGCATGATATTGCAGTGCATGCTATCATATGCATGATATTGCAGTGCATGCTATCATATGCATGATATTGCAGTGCATGCTATCATATGCATGATATTGCAGTGCATGATATCATATGCATGATATTGCAGTGCATGCTATCACATGCATGATATTGCAGTGCATGCTATCATATGCATGATATTGCAGTGCATGCTATCATATGCATGATATTGTAGTGCATGCTATCATATGCATGATATTGCAGTGCATGATATCATATGCATGATATTGCAGTGCATGCTATCATATGCATGATATTGCAGTGCATGCTATCATATGCATGATATTGCAGTGCATGCTATCATATGCATGATATTGCAGTGCATGATATTGCAGTGCATGCTATCATATGCATGATATTGCAGTGCATGCTATCATATGCATGATATTGCGGTGCATGCTATCATATGCATGATATTGCAGTGCATGCTATCATCTGCATGATATTGCAGTGCATGCTATCATATGCATGATATTGCAGTGCATGCTATCATATGCATGATATTGCAGTGCATGCTATCATATGCATGATATTGCAGTGCATGCTATCATATGCATGATATTGCAGTGCATGCTATCATATGCATGATATTGCAGTGCATGGTATCATATGCATGATATTGCAGTGCATGCTATCATATGCATGATATTGCAGTGCATGCTATCATATGCATGATATTGCAGTGCATGCTATCATATGCATGATATTGCAGTGCATGATATTGCAGTGCATGCTATCATATGCATGATATTGCAGTGCATGCTATCATATGCATGATATTGCAGTGCATGATATTGCAGTGCATGCTATCATATGCATGATATTGCAGTGCATGCTATCATATACATGATATTGCAGTGCATGATATTGCAGTGCATGATATCATATGCATGATATTGCAGTGCATGCTATCACATGCATGATATTGCAGTGCATGCTATCATATGCATGATATTGCAGTGCATGCTATCATATGCATGATATTGTAGTGCATGCTATCATATGCATGATATTGCAGTGCATGATATCATATGCATGATATTGCAGTGCATGCTATCATATGCATGATATTGCAGTGCATGCTATCATATGCATGATATTGCAGTGCATGCTATCATATGCATGATATTGCAGTGCATGATATCATATGCATGATATTGCAGTGCATGCTATCATATGCATGATATTGCAGTGCATGCTATCATATGCATGATATTGCGGTGCATGCTATCATATGCATGATATTGCAGTGCATGCTATCATCTGCATGATATTGCAGTGCATGCTATCATATGCATGATATTGCAGTGCATGCTATCATATGCATGATATTGCAGTGCATGCTATCATATGCATGATATTGCAGTGCATGCTATCATATGCATGATATTGCAGTGCATGCTATCATATGCATGATATTGCAGTGCATGGTATCATATGCATGATATTGCAGTGCATGCTATCATATGCATGATATTGCAGTGCATGCTATCATATGCATGATATTGCAGTGCATGCTATCATATGCATGATATTGCAGTGCATGGTATCATATGCATGATATTGCAGTGCATGCTATCATATGCATGATATTGCAGTGCATGCTATCATATGCATGATATTGCAGTGCATGATATTGCAGTGCATGCTATCATATGCATGATATTGCAGTGCATGCTATCATATGCATGATATTGCAGTGCATGATATTGCAGTGCATGCTATCATATGCATGATATTGCAGTGCATGATATCATATGCATGATATTGCAGTGCATGATATCATATGCATGATATTGCAGTGCATGCTATCATATGCATGATATTGCAGTGCATGCTATCATATGCATGATATTGCAGTGCATGCTATCATATGCATGATATTGCAGTGCATGTCATCATATGCATGATATTGCAGTGCATGCTATCATATGCATGATATTGCAGTGCATGATATCATATGCATGATATTGCAGTGCATGCTATCATATGCATGATATTGCAGTGCATGCTATCATATGCATGATATTGCAGTGCATGATATCATATGCATGATATTGCAGTGCATGCTATCATATGCATGATATTGCAGTGCATGCTATCATATGCATGATATTGCAGTGCATGCTATCATATGCATGATATTGCAGTGCATGCTATCATATGCGTGATATTGCAGTGCATGATATCGTATGCATGATATTGCAGTGCATGCTATCATATGCATGATATTGCAGTGCATGCTATCATATGCATGATATTGCAGTGCATGATATCATATACCTGATATTGCATTGCATGCTATCATATGCATGATATTGCAGTGCATGATATCATATGCATGATATCATATGCATGATATTGCAGTGCATGCTATCATATGCATGATATTGCAGTGCATGATATCATATGCATGATATTGCAGTGCATGATATCATATGCATGATATTGCAGTGCATGCTATCATATGCATGATATTGCAGTGCATGCTAACATAACATGACACTACAGTGCACGTCGGAAAACCGAAAAATTTTTATTCCACACTAAGTGTTTAGAACAATGTTAATGACTCATCACTATAAACCAATTCGTTATTCCTTTGTTATATCCCATTCTTTTATCTAAACCTCAAATAGTAAATGTACATTTGTATTCATTGTAAATGTCAATCTGCTAAGCGAGCCCAACCCTCTCCCTACATCCTTAAAAATCTTCTCCAATCAATTAATAACAAAGAAACGATCAATGACAGTCTTCTCTTCCTCCTACTCAACAGTACCACTTATTCCCTCGCTGTTTCAATTATTCTCCTAATGTGTCGAATAACCATATCTGGGTCGATCTCGCTTGCAAATAAGAAACAAAAGGTTCAGTTCAAGTTCCACAAACTTAAAGTAATTCAAGTGAACTTAACTGATCGAAATCAACTACTCTTCTGACCAAAAAGTTGATTCAAATTCACGACAGTGCATGCTATCATAATTTAGCATTGTATTTCTTCGTGCACAGATTAATTACATGAAGATAGGTTAATTATTGATAGATTTTTACAACAATGAACTGCAATGATTTGCATTAAATCCGCTAAATAAATGAGTTAATTGATTATCAGAAATTATCAGAAATCGAAGTACAAATAATTGTGAGCAAATTCTTTCATAACTAATATTAATTGTTAAATAGCACAAAGTATCGTTGATTGCTGAACATTTAAAATAAATCTGAAGAATGGAATGATATCAGTAATTAAATTACTCATTTAAAAAAAAAAAAAAAAAAGAAAATTATTCCAACCTTCCTTCCATTCAATGTCAATCAATGAACAATTCCCTGAATGGTTTGTCTCTGCATCTGATTGCAAAAGTTAAATCAAAATAAATAAATAAATAAACAAAAAAATGAATAACTGATAACAAAATCAGATATCACTACAGCTTTTTTTTGTTACAACTGAATGAGATATGACGGAATAAGAAAAGAAAAAGCATTATCTTCAGCTAAATATTAATCAAAACAAAAATGCGCAATTTTTTTCGAGACAATAACGCCTCATGTCAATTTAATTACAAATTTAACAAAAAATCTTTGCCTCATTCGTCATATCATCTAATTATTTCAATTTTTCAGTTTTTTTTTTTTCGCAGAAAACAATAAAGGAAATTTCTTTATTTTTTCAATTCTCAAATATTAAAAGTATGATGAATTTTCATATGGAATATAAACATTTGTGAAGAAATTTGTTACTTTAAAATGCACACCTACAATCGCTATTATAATTTCATATATTTTTGAAATTTCTTTTATTCATCCTAATTTGATTTCATTTCTTTTTTATCCATGCATTTTTTTTTTCCAATTACCTACGTCAAAAGCTAGGAGAAAAAGTTACTGGTTAATAAACCCAATTGTATTTTCTTTGAATCTAATACTGATTTGTAAAATCTACAAATTTTATAAAGATTTACAAATTTTCAGATGTTTAATTGCAAAGTAGAATTCATGTAAAAATGATATTGAGAATTTAAATTTCATCATGAATGAAGAAAAGCTTGGAATTTATTATTTAAAAAAAAAAAGAAATTATGAAATAAGATGATAATTAAATTATTTAAGATCGGTTAACATAAAAATGTATTTTTCAGTTTTTCAAAATCTCTTTTACAATTTAATAAAGATATCTCAATTTCAGTTCTTCAATATTCATTACACGTGTTTTTTACTAATTGTAAAATTAAAATATTCACTGAAAACAATTTATTATAAGATTGTTGACAAACAGTTGTCACACGAAAATCAAATCACCCACTTAATGAATCTCGTTTTTTTTTCCGTATCCGTTTATAATACTTTTCCTTCCAACCCTAATTGCCTTTCTTCTATTCCATTATAGGAATGCAGTCAAATAATTAAATTAAAAAAAAAAAATGAAAAACATGAATAGTTCATTATAAAATGTCAGTATAAAAAGGAATCATTTTTAACTGTTTGATATTTTACAAATTTCATTATTTCCATCTTCCTTTCATGTTTTATACATTTCCGGAAACTTCTTTGTTAGATTCCGTTTACAAATATCCTTTGCGCCAGCTTTTCTTATGAACCTTTCCTGACCAAATGTTTCTGTACAAACGGAAATTCGTTAAATATATCCTTTAAACCCGAAGATTCTGTTCAAGGAAAATCGTTAGGAATTATTTTTTTTTTACGAATATAATTGATTAAATACTGAATACGAAGCGACTAATCGATGTTGTAAAATGTAATTTCAGAATTCAACAAAATTTCACTTATTGATTTCAAAATGGCTAACGGATTCATATATATGTTCCTTATATTGTGTGGTGCTAATGCTGGTATGTTTTTGATCTTCTTCACTCCAATCACTGCAGATCAAATAAAATTGAACTAGAATTAATTTCAGCTGGAGGCTCTAACATAAATTGCAAATTTTCCGATTTAGTTGCAACTGAAATGGCCAAAGCACAAACACACGAATGTATGTTAATATAATGATAAGTTGATTAATTAATAAAGCTCGATTTTAATTAATTACTTACTCAAAAAAATAAATAAAATTGTTAATGTAAAATAGCCTTAAAAATATTTCGCCAATTTTCCGTTAGCTTTATTTGTGATAAAATTTGATAAAATTATTATCACAATCACATTGCAGCAACACTAACAAATTGTGGCGCAAGCGCAATGTGCAACGAAGGACTAACTACTTTGGAAGAGAATTCGATGCTTTTCATGAGAAACTCTCTTCATTTTATGAAACATATTTAAATATCAGTGATATTTATGTTATCAATTCTAAGGATTGTTAATCATTTAGAATGTGAAATAATGATAATACGAAATAAATTTTAATAATTATATTTAATCTTTGTGTAACATTTTTAAATTGTCCATCTAACACTGATAATTTGATAAGTGTTGTTGGATGAAATAATGAAACGAAGAAATAGTTTTCAGATCAAATGAGCAAATATTAAAAGATTGATTAATTCAACTCAAAAAAATAGTAATTAGAATTTAAAGTAATTAAAAAAATAGTAAATAGAATTTGAATCAATTCAATTTAAAAAAAAAATAGTAATTAGAAATAATTTAAAGTTTTAATAAAGCTTATCATTATAAATGAAATAATTCAAATCAAAGATCGCTTTCTCAGTATTCTGTAAACTATAACTTAATTATAAATTATGTAACTTATCGTTTACTATGAATTTACAATATGTTAATTACAAATTTAGTTTTCATATAAAAAATTTTTATACAAGAAAAAATTTGATAAATATGAAAATAACTGTTGTGAAATTGTAATTTATCTGATTGTTCTAAATTGAATAAGAAAGTCAGTAAAATTTTAAATCAGAAAATTATGAGAAATCTCTATCTATTAGTGTGATTTAACTGTATTTTTTTGAAATTTAATATTAATTTATAAATTTAATTTACAATTTAGTGCATATTTGTTAGATATCAGATTTCTCATTTTGAAATGTCCACGAAAAATTATAAAATGAATTTAAATGTCCAATGCTTATCTAAAATTTTTTGACAGAATTGAAAAATCTTTTCGTACTTAAAATAAAAAGACTTTCACTCATGACGGATTATTCTTTTTCCACAGATGTCGCATAGTAATATTCAACGATTGAAATTTATGACCTCAAAAATTCCTTCGTTGTCAAAATCAAAAATTTAATAATTTCAGTAATTTGCATAAAACTCTATATAAGCATTAGTAGTACAAGAAGCAAGAAAAGAATCATTTGAAAATTATCAAAATTTCTTTAAAAAAGAAAACTGTTGACATTTCAAATATTTATTTTTTTTTCTGGATTTAATTGTTATTGAATTTAAAACTAAATATTACCAAAATTTTTTCATTATAAGATTGTTGACAAACAGTTGTCACACAAAAATCAAATCACCCACTTAATGAATCTCGTTTTTTTTTTCCGTATCCGTTTATAATACTTTTCCTTCCAACCCTAATTGCCTTTCTTCTATTCCATTATACGGATGCAGTCAAATAATTAAATTAAAAAAAAAAAAATGAAAAAAGCATGAATAGTTCATTATAAAATGTCAGTATAAAAAGGAATCATTTTTAACTGTTTGTATTTTACAAATTTCATTATTTCCATCTTCCTTTCATGTTTTATACATTTCCGGAAACTTCTTCGTTAGATTCCGTTTACAAATATCCTTTGCATCACTTCTTTTGATCCTTTCCTGACCACACTAAATGCTTTCGTACAAACGGTGCGGAAATTCGTTAAATAAATCCTTTAAAACCCGAAAATTCTATCCAACAAAAATCATTAGAAATTATTTTATTTTACGAATATAACTGATCAAATAAAGAGACTAATCGATGTTATAAAATGTAATTTCAGAATTCAATAAAATTTCACTTATTGATTTCAAATATGGCTAACGGATTCCTATATATTTCCCTTATATTGTGCGCTCCTAACGGTATGGTGGAATTAATTTCAGCTGGAAGCTCCAACATAGATGGCAAATTTGACCTTTTGTGGGGCAATGATCGACCAATTTCCGATTTAGTTGCAACTGAAATGGCCAAAGCACAGACACACGAATGTATGTTAATATAATGATAAGTTGATTAATTAATAAAGCTTGATTTTAATTAATTACTTAATCAAAAAAATAAATAAATAAAATTTAATATAAAATAGCGTTAAAAATATTTTTCCAATTTTCCGTTAGCTTTATTTGTGATAAAATTTGATAAAATTATTATCACAATCACATTGCAGCAACACTAACAAATTGTGGCGCAAGCGCAATGTGCAACGAAGGACTAACTACTTTGGAAGAGAATTCGATGCTTTTCATGAGAAACTCTCTTCATTTTATGAAACATATTTAAATATCAGTGATATTTATGTTATCAATTCTAAGGATTGTTAATCATTTAGAATGTGAAATAATAATAAATTTTAATAATTATATTTAATCTTTGTGTAACATTTTTAAATTATCTATCTAACATTGATAATTTGATATGTTGTTAGATATAATATTGAAAAGAAGAAATAGTTTTCAGATCAAATGAGCAAATATTAAAAGATTGATTAATTCAATTAATTCAATTTAAAAAAAAATAGTAATTAGAAGTAATTTAAAGTTTTAATAAAGTATATTATTTTAAAATGAAATAATTCAAGTCAGAATTGATATCGTTTTTTAAAATTCTGTAAACTATAAATTACTAATAAATTATGCAACTTATCGTTTACTATGAATTTACAATATGTCAATTACAAGTTTATTTTCATATAAAAAATTTGTAAATATGAAAATAGCTGTTGTGAAATGATAATTTATGTGATTGACCTAAATTGAATAAGAAAGTCAGTAAATTTTTAAATTAAAAAATTATGAAAAGGTGCTGACCATCAGTGTAATTTAACTGTATTTTTTTGAAATTTAATATCAATTTATAAATTGAATTTACAGTTTAGTGCATATTTGCTAGTTTCTAAATTTCTCTTTGAAATTTATTAGTCAAAAAAAAAAAAAGACTACTCACAATTTTCCAAAATCTCTATCGTACTTGAATAAAAAAAACTTTTGCTTATGAATCAAATGTCCTTTTTTCTTTACAAAGACTGTCACTTATACAAAGACTGTCACTTACGACCTTAAAAATTCCTTCACTATCAGAAAAAAAAATAGAAGTTCCAGTGTTTTGCATAAATTTCAATATAGAATAAAAAGTTTTAGAAAAAGAAGTAAAAAAAGAATAATTTGAAAATTTTCAAAATTTTGCTTCAACTTCAATTTTAATCTTTTAACAAAAAGAAGATGCTGTTGAAATTTTCACTTCATTTATCTATTTTTGAGATTATCCAAAATTTTATCCAAAATTTTTATTGATTATAAAACTAAACATTTACTAAAAAAAATATTTGATTAGAAAATTGTTGACAAAATGACTATCGCTGGAAAATCAAATCACCCATTTAATGAAATCTCGTTTTTTTTTCCGTTTCCGTTTATAATACTTTTTTTTTTTCAACTGATCATTCAATTCTATTTGCTCTCTTCTTTTCCATTATAGGAATGCAATCAAATAATTAAATTTAAAGACAAAAGACATGAATGATTCACTGTAAAATGTTAACTATAAAAAGAAATGATTTTTAACTTTTTGATATTTTACAAATTTCATTATTTTCATTTTTCCTTTCATGATTTATAACATTTCCGGAAACTTCTTCATTAGATTCCGTTTACAAATATCTTTTGCGTCACTTCTTATAATCCTTTCCTGACCACCCAAATGCTTTCATACAAAATTTGGAAATTTGTTAAATAAATCCTTTAAAATCTGAAGATTCTGTTCAAGGAAAATCTTCAAAAATTATTTTTTTTTTTACGAATATAATTGATCAAATAAAGAGAAAAATGTGTTATAAAATGTAATTTCAGAATTTAACAAAATTTCATTTACTGATTTCAAATATGGCAAACGGATTTCTATATATTTTCCTTTTATTATGTGGTTTTGCTGCTGGCCGTATGTTTTTGATCTCCTTCACTTCAATTATTGTTATTTTTGCAATGAGAAGTGCAATAAAATTGAATTGGAATCAATTTCAGGTATGGCTTTATCACAAATTGTTAATTCGACAAATTATAAGGTAATTGGCGATTAATTATCGATCTAATTGGCTATTTAAATTGCAGAAGCACAAATAGAAGGTTGTATATTTGCATAATAATAAATTAATTTATTAATTATACTAATACTAATTAATTATTTACTTAAAAGAAAAAAGAGAAAAGGAAAAATTTAGTTTGTAATTTTAAACTTTATGGTATTAAATAGAGTTGGAAACGTTATTTTCTTTAAACTTTTTTCTGTTAGCTGTCTTTTTAAGCAAAGAAGTAAATTTGTATTATCATTTCTTTTCATTGATAAAATTAAAATTATCACAATGACTGCAGCAACATTAGCAAATTGTGACGCAAACGAAATTTGAAACGGAAGAATAATTGATTGATTGATTGATTGATTTGGATGAGAATTGGATGCTTTTCGTACGAAACATTTTTCACTTCATAAAACATTTTTAAATATCAGTGATATTTATGTTAGTAATACTAAAGTTGTTAATCATTTAGAATGTGAAGTAATAATATGAAATAAATTTTAATAATTTTGTGTGTAACATTTTTAAATTATCTATCTAACACTGATAATTTGATAAGTGTTGTTGGATATAATATTGAAAAGAAGAAATAGTTTTCAGATCAAATGAGCAAATATTAAAAGATTGATTAATTCAAAATATAAAGAGCAAAATTGATTGCATAGTATTGAAATGATTTTAAGTATTGGAAAAGTGATTAGAACTGGCTATATTTTATTTAAATTAAAATGTTTAAAGTTACAACAATTTAATTAATTGATTGATCGGAGCTAATTTCTCATAACTGCATGAGAACGTCGAGAAATTAAATATTGATTGTGTTACAATTTTTTAATATTTGAAGGTGTGAAAATTGAAATCAATTGGGATAAGTAAATAAAATGATAATGGAAAGAAAAAAAAAGTATTTCATTTGAAATAATATGAATTGATAATTTAGAATTGAGAAAATGAAATATCTCTGAAAAATGCCTTTCCGTTTATTTGAAATAATAATAACTCAATTAAATCATATGTGATAATTTGCAGAATTTTTTTTTTTTTTTTAAAAAAAACTAAACTTTCGTAGAAATTGTCTCTAATTCTATTTTATTTGCAAGATAATATTCTTTCTTTTGAATTTCACTTCTTCTAGAGATATTTTTTTTAATTATTAAAATTTCTTTTTAAATTAGGTTGAAAGTAAAAGTTGAGTTTGCACTACAGTTGAGTAGAAATTTAACACATTTTTTGCTCTCTTTTGCGTTTTTCATATTTTGTGTGTGACTATGACAATACCCTGAATAGTCTTTGACGTATTCAGACGTGAATGACGTAATGTTGCTTAAGTCAAGCATTCATTCAGGTTGTTTTCAACTTCCTGTTCAAGTGGTATACGTGATCGTAAGCTGTGAACTGTGCGCAAAAGTCCAGCAAAAGACGTTTGCCATTATTTTAGTCTTATCATCACGTTTATCTATTGCTACTTTCCAAACTACATGATGATCTTGTCATCCACACAATTTTTGACAGTCAAATGTCAAAGGTCAAGATAGAATTTGTTTTTTTCAGGGTGAACTTAGAGAGCTGACGCATATGTGATGAAAAAAATAGCATATTGATTTGTAGAATATTGTGATCAGAATGACCTCTTAACAAATTTACAAGTTTGGAAGCGGTGAATTTCTAATGATGAAATCAATTCATGAAGATTTTGAATTTACCTGGTCCTTTTACCTGGTAGAGTGTGTAACCTGGTTATGACTGTATCTCAATGCTTTGTCACAGAGATGAATTTCAGTGAGGTCAACAATGTCAATGTTTAATTATAATAATTAATAGGTGAATTAGGATGCTTGGGATATCAAATATTTGTAGAATCAAGCATAATTCCAGATATTTCAAAATATCTAAACAAACTTTTAAAGGTAATTTTTTGTCTTTGTTTATTTATTTTGTTTTTATTCGATCGTAGCAGATGATAGTAGTTACTAGCAATGGCTAATCAACTAGGTAAAAATGTGAAAAAGAGCTTTGTTTTTTTTTTAGGCCACTTTTTTTCAGGTCTCTTATCGTATGGAACAGTTACATATATTGGCCATAACTTTCAACTTACCTTTTCACTTGTTATTTCGCTTCTTGTCTCCTATTAAAAGGCCTAGCAAAAGCAAATATATCCTTCCGGCCTGCACAACTCTTTCTTAGATAAGACACAGTCTCATATTTTATTCATGAAGCTAATTCATCAAGCCTAGTAAGCCTAAAAAGCCTAGTAAACATAGGCTTGTTTGAAATATCATTCATTTGGATTTTTTTTTCTCAGTTAAATGAATTTCATCGTTATATTTAGACCTATTAAAGAGTTATCTTTCGTCTCCTCGGATGGCTTTTCGAAGAAAGGCTAATCTCCATAAACATACTTTGTTTATTTTTTTAACTGAGTCTATCTAGCATAAAAGACTTTTATCAATAACAAAAATATTTGTAGACAACAAATATGTTATTAAAAAAAAAAATTTAAATACGATATTATTAAAATTGCGTTTTGTGCAAATAATTTAATTAAATAAATGAAATGATCGAAGATAGAAATTGTTGGTATTTAAATGGAATAAAATCAAATCTTTTTTCAAATTTTTAATTTATTTCATTAAAAAAAGCAAAACAATATTAATATTTAGTGTTTTATTATAGAAATAAATTAAATTACTTTTTCTTTTTTTTTTTTTGGCTTTCATGAATTGTAGTAATTAATGATTAATTAATTTATAAGAATAACATGAATCATTCCTCGCATTAATAATATATATACGAACATTTTTTTAAAAAAAAAAAAGAAGCAATCATTAATTGTAGTCATTAAAATATATTCTAATAACAATAACAATAATAAATAGTAACAACAATAACAATAACACTGTTAGCAGTGAAACATACAAAAAATTAGTGTGATTAATTATAATTATTATGTAATTATAAACTCAAATGGGTAATTTGTTTATTAATTATAAATTAGTATAAACAAATTTTAAAATCATTATTCTTCGTATTGTTTGATCGATGATCGAATATCTTTGAATGTTACCGTTTTTGCACTTCGCAATATTTTTTGTAATGCTTCTCGACGATCAGATACATATCGATGAGTCAATACAAGGAGATATAAATTTGTTCTATAATCAGAAATAATTAGAAATTAATTTTTTTTTCTTTTAAAGATACTATAATATACTTTAAATACGATAATTTTTTTTTTTAATTTAATCCTAAAAAAATGATTTGCTAACAAAGTAAAGAAGCACAAAAAAAACTTGGTGATGATATAATATTAATTTAAATCAAAAATATTAATTTAAATCGAAAAATTCAAATAAAAAAAAAATAAAAAATGATCGAATTACAAGAATAATATTATGACAAAGAGATCCATTTTTTTTTTTTTTTTACTAAGCAAATTTGATTTATTTACTGTAATTTCGAATAATCAACAGCGCATTTCTTTGATTTTTTTTTTATTTGACAGTTTTGAAATTTTTATTTTTAAAAAAAGAGGGAAGAAAATAAATGATTTGCTAACAAAGTAAAAAAGCAGAAAAATGAAGCAACAAGTGGTGCTATCCAGATGACATTTGAACCGATAAAATTCATTGTTATAATGCATAACAGACTAAATGTGTAGAATCCCACTGATATGATAAGTATGATAAGTTGAGGGTATAGCAATTCTGGTCGAATAAGCTAAAATGACAATAGGAGTTTAAAATTTTTGAGTTTAAAAAATAAAACTTTTAGTTTAAAATCTACAAATTGACTTTTAGTTTAAAATTTATCTGATTATCTGATCATACTTCAATTTGATACTTATCTGATCACACTTTAATTTTTAAAAAAAATTTATCCTTAGGATTGTATTTAAAAAAGTATGCTTGTTATATATAGTGAAAAATAATAATAAATCAAAATTTATGTTTGACTAAAAATTGAACTAAAAAAAAAACTAAAATTGTTAAAGTCAAACAATTTATGCATTATCTATTGATTTAGGAATGAATTTGAAAGTGTAAAATTATCAAAAAAAAAAAAAATACTCTAAAAAAATTTCTTTTTCAAATTTATTATATTGAATTAATTTTGCTTTTTTTTTTTAAATGAATTGTTTGTGAGTAATATTAATTATATGTCAATAAATTTGCATAAATAAAAAGTAAACTTACTTGTGTAGCTAAAATGCTAGTAATAATGGTAATTATATGAATAATATGTATAGCAATCCATAAAGCTATAGCTATTCGATAAAGTAATAAGTAATGATTAGCTCTTACTCGTGCATAATGCTAAAAAGAAAAGTTTTAAAATGAAAGAAATTAATTATTTTTCATTAGTATTATATTTATGTAACAATCAAAAAAGAGTACAATTTAATATTAAAAATTTTAATTTAAATTAACTAATAAAACTTACATGAAAAAATTGATTGTATAATGAAGTTTTACGATGAAGGCTTGGATTAATTAATAAAATAACACCAATTAAAATTGCTGCTATAGTGATAAGTCCAGTGATCGGTTCATGGAATAACAATAATGTCTACAATTAATTTCTTATTATCATTTCAAATTAATTCTTTCATTTTTCTTATCAAATAATTTATTGACATTCTTTTTGTCAATTAAATAAAAATATATTTGATAAAATTTTGCTTCATTTATTTCTAATTAATTAAGTAAATAAAAGTGATTACTAGTAAAATGCAAACAAATAATTGTTAAAATATATTAATAGAATTTCATTTAATTTCAATTTAATCTTTTATTTTTCTTGAAATAAATCATTTAATTTGAGTTTAATCGTTTTTAAAATAAACCATTTAATTTGAATTTTAATCTTTTTTAAAAAAAATAAATCATTACTAAAGATTTTGAGTTGCATTATTAATTCATTCATTATTAAAGTAGTAAATAAACAAACAAACAAACAAATGAAATAAATGATAAAATGATAAAAATGATAAGAAAAAAAAAAAAACCTGAACATGAATTCCGCAACGTCTATGATAATTAGCATCAGTAAAATGAGCTGGCAATATAGTATAACTACACATTATTCATAATAACATTTAACAAATAAAAGATGAAATTGAAAAAGAAGAAAGAAAGAGAATAATGAAAATAGATGTAAAAGCTAATATTTCAATTGCTCTGAACAACTGTTTCAAATGTTTAAATTTTCTTCAATATTTTCTTTTCAAAAAAAAAAAAAAAAATATTACAATCAATAAAAAAAATAAAATAATACAAAAAAATTTTTTTTTCTCTTTTCTTATCAATATATCAATTACTGTTACTTTGTGAATATTTTAAAATTTAACAATTTTTACAAAAAAAAAAAGGAACAAAAAATTTTTTAAACAATTTTTATTTTATATGATATAAAGCAATTAGCTATGTTCTATGTTTATTGTATTTCTAATTTATCAACTAAATTAGAATTGTATTTAAGATTATCAAAATTGCATACTTTGATCAACAAAATTCACAAAATGAATTTTGTTGATTTATTTTTAGAATAATTGCTAATAAAAAGTAGAATGAGTAAAATAAATAATGATAATTAGAAAGTATAAAATTCTGAAATTTTGTTTTTTTTTTTTATTTTTGGAAAAGATTGGAATAATTTGTTATTTATGGAAAATTTGATTGAAATGATCTAATTATGGTACCATGTAGTAGGACAAAAAAGATTTATTATTGATGAATTCTGCATTTGATGAGATGCATTTTAGTCCTGCAAGAAGTATAATTACTAAAATTATCAAAATCTGATTAAAAAAGCAAATACCATTTTGATTATTATATTTTAAACTACTAATTGTAAATTTTGGAAATTAGAAGAATGATTATATAATATCGTAAGATCTTTTTATTTATTAAATAAACGATAAATTATCAATTATATGTACAAATAAAAATATTTTTAACTGATAAAATACAAACAATCAAAGTATGATAAGAAAAATGAATAGAAAGCACATTAATTATCAGATATATCACTGTAGTAGCACTTTAAAAAAGAAAAAATAAAGTTTATCAGAATTCTTTGATTTCTGAAATTGTTTCATTATCCATTTCCTTTTTTTTTCTTTTTTAAACTAAAATTAAAATTAATGAATTCAATTATTATATGTAAAAGTTTAGAGATTTAATTCAATTTATTAAAATTTGAGAAAAAAAAAATAAAAGACATGGCAGTTAAGCATAATTATTAATAATACAATTAAAGATATAATACAAATATTCTTTATATAAAGTATCTCGGAATAAATGATCTAATTATTATCACTTATCAATGCTTAGTTGATTATTTGACCATTTATTTGTCTTATCTATTCATAACTATTCTCTTTTATACTAATTTATAATAGTTTTAAAAATCTTTTTTTTTTTGTTTGTGTGTGTGTGTGATCCATCATTGTCAAATATAACAATAAATATTTTGAAAATTTTGATTTGAATTAAAAATTTAGAATCAATTTTGATAGATATATATCATGAAAAGATATTAAAATTAGTAATTAATTATTATCAATAAACTAATTATTAACTGTTATCACTAACAGTGTATTTGTTTATTAGATATCACAGATCAGAGTAAATTCATAAATTAATTATTAATCATTTTATTAAACAACTATGAATGCTATCACTTGCTCTGATAATACCGATGGAAACTTTTGGCTTATTGTTGCATGATTTGACTTTTTTTTCATTGCAAATTCTATTTCAATTTTAGTTGCTTCAGTAAAGAAAACATTCGAAGTGATAAATTGTTTACAATTCATTTGATTATTTATATTTTCTGTTCGATTATTCTCCATAAAATTAGTATTTATACTTTTTGCTGTTGTTATATTTGTTAAATTTAAATATTTTTCTGTTACTTTTTCCTCGTTCTTGTTTAAATCAGATTTTCCAGCAAAACGAACACTTTGTTTACGAATAACTTTTGTTGTTACACATGAATCTGACATTATGTTTTCCGGAATGGATAAAGTTTTCTGAAATATTATCACTGATAAATGTTATATTTATAAAGAGATGAAAAAAAAAAAATGAAAGATTGTTAATTCAAAGAAAATAATTGTTTTTTCCTCTCTTTTTTTCTGCTTTGAAATTTTAAAATTTGTTTCAATTCACAGTTCAGATAATTAATTTTTGATTTATCAATTTTTGATGTATTGTTTAAAAAAACAAACAAACAAACAAACAAATAAAAATTTATGATTGTTTTCAAATTAATGAGAAATAACTGAACTATTTTACGGGAAATTTCTTAAATTTTTTTTGCGGCAAATTTCTTATATTTCTTACTTTCATTAATTAACAATTTTGACAAATATCATTTATACTTACGCTTAATTTGACGTTTTTTATATCATCATTTTTCATTTTTAAACTTCTAAAACTACTTTGCGGTGTTTCAATGTTGCTTTTTGATAGAAAACTGGAACGAGTAGAACAAGTAGATTTTCGTCTTTGATAAAACAAATCAATTATATGATTTTCCAATCGTACTGTCTAAAAAAAAAGTAAAATATTAATTTTATCTTTGAATTTTTTAAAAAAAAAAAACTATCAATTACCTTGGCCAAGTTACTCATCAAATAAGGAGTAATTAAATTATAATAGGAATAAAAATTAAACCATAAAAATATTATTGATAGATAGAAGTAATTAAAAGTAATTAATTAAATATATTTCATTTTTATCATTGTATTCGCTTATTTTCACTTTTGATGAACTTATTTCATTTTATTTCAGTTCCTTTTTTTTTGAAATTACGTTTGCTTCTTTTTTTTTTGTAAGTACTTTATAAAGTATTCTATTTTGGTATTTAGAACTTATACTACCCTGGCCAAGTTACTCATCAAATAAGGAGTAATTAAATTATAATAGGAATAAAAATTTATAACAACTTATAAATCAATTACTTACTCAATTACTAAATTCTTCAATAAAATCAGTACTAATATATAAATTAAAATTTAGTGAGAAAAAAAAAGAAATAAAAAAATACGAAAATCTTTATTAAATACATTTCCGTTGATGAAAGTGATATGAAGAAAAAAAAAAAGCATACCTTATCAATAGATTGTGCATATTCAATCTCATTTAGTACTTCAAAATTGAAATTATCACTATCATCTAGTAAATCACGAAATAGTATCACTGTTTCATCATTCTAAAAATGAAAAACAAAGTAATTTATTTGATTAAATATATTAACCAATTAAACATTAAAAAAACAAACAAAAAAAAAAAAAAATTTAATTATCTCCAAAAAATTACTTAACTATAAATGCATTCAATTTAACATTCATTCATTTTTCATCATTTCTATTCTAAATTAAATTTAATTTTCCTAATTAATTGATTCACTTTGTTTACACTTTTCAACAATTATGATAGAATTAAAATATTTGATGTTTATATCATAAATACTGACTAATTTTATCAATCTATTAGTTCATTCATTAGCCAAATTTGAAATTCTATTTATAATACTAAAATTACTTTGAAATTAATAAAATCAAATACTAATATTAAATATTTTTAAGGTTTTTTTATTTTTTTAAATAACTTACAGGTATATCATTGAAAAGAATGCATAACATTGCTAAATCATAAAGAATACGAAGTCTATTTGGATGAGTGGGTCTACGCCATATACGTCGACCCATTAGGAATATTTCCGCATATTCACGTTTAACGTCAATCCATATTCGCTTCTTCTCATCTTTATCACTAATTAACGGTGCTAATCGATAATAGCAAGTGTAAATTGCTGATGCATACCTAAAAAAAAAAAAGGAAAAAACTTAAAATTAAAATAAAATAGAAAACTTTCAAATTAATATTAAAAATTTAAAATATAAATATGAAAAAAATTGAACCATGCAAGACAATAATATTTTTTGGTAATATTGTTAAGCCGTCGAAGCCATTCCATACAAATTGCTCTTTTCTCATCTGTATCATAATGATCCAAATTTCCATGTTGAAATTTAAATAAATCATTAGCTGACCAATTATTACCCTTTAAATTTTATTAATATTTAGCAAGGTATTAAAATAATAAAATTTGCATAAATTTGTCAGTTTTGTGAATGAAGTAAATTCAATTTTTTACTATGAAATAGTAATTTAGATGATTGTTATGAATTATTTCAATTTTTTTTTTTTATTTATCATTAAACTAACTTCAAAAATTTTGTTAACTTCTGTAAATCTGATATATTCTTTCTTTTTTTTTAAATTTCAATTACGTTCGTTAAAAAAAGAAAAAGAAAGTATTCCTTTATATATAAAGGAATAAATTAAATAATTTAAAGTAAGTAGCAGAAATTAGAGTTTTAGTATAAATCTGTAAATGATTTAATACTGAAAAGTGTTAGTTATATTAAAACTGCTATATTATTTTAATTATTTATTAAAATTTACTTTTCGTTTCATTCGTTCTAACTCATTCGTTGCTTTTCTGTCTAATTTCGATATTAGATGTTTTATTGGTTTAGCTGAAACATATTTATTCTTTCTTCTTTTTTTCAATCAAAATTATTTGTTAATTCATTAAATAATTGATAATTTATATTTATGATTATAATGTCAACCACTATTAAATTAAATTTATTCTATGATATTTTATATTCAATTTATCATTATATGAAAAATTTTTTTCTTAATTTTAGTATTATTTTTAAACAAATTATAATACTAATCATATAATTATCTATTTTGATTTTTTCTAGACACTAATCCTAACTATTATATTGTTTTTTTTTTTCTTCATCCTTTCTATGAATTATTTAAATATATTTCATATGAGAATGATAACTGATTAGAATTTAAAAAATAAACCTGAATCAGGTGATGATTTTATTCTTAAACGACAAATTTTTTTAGCATCAGGTATTACACGTAATAATGGTGTGCATAAGCATTGTTTTATTGAAATTTCATATTTCTAAAATTATAATCATACATTCCTTTATTATCTCTAATAATTTAAAATAAATATAGAAAATGAAATGACAATAATACTTCATTTATCATTTCAATTTTATCTAACATTTCAATTAATTCTTTTTTTTTATTTTTAAGAAATACCTCACACATAGTAAAATGTACAATTTTTTTAAAAAGAAAAAAATTATTTTTTGTTTGAAAGTAAGAACGAAAGTATATAATCAAAGAAAAAATAAATAAACAAGTAAACAAATAAATAAATAAACTGACACGCAATCTACGGAAGCATAATCCGCATAATGTACAATGAACTTTCATCCAACCTCTAACAATTTTCTTATGAAAAGTACGAATTTTACTTGTGCGATAAGTGGAATTCATCAATCTAAAATTTTACAATCATATTTGTGAAGAGAAAAAAAAATAAACAAATAAAAACATCAATACAAGACAGAGAGAGAGATGAACATAAATTAAGAGGAGAGGGAGGTATAAAGTTGATAAAATATGCAATCATTTTTGATAAACTTCCTCAATATCATATTAATATTTCATGATGTGATAATTTTTCATTTTCTTTTTATAATAAATGATAAATTAATTAACAAAATATTTGATTTCAAAAAAGAAAAATAAATAAATATTTGGAAGCTTTCTTAAAATTATAAATGATAATAGTAAAAAGAGAAGTAGAAAATGGCATATGTTTTGCTCCTTTGTGATTCAATCTCAATGAGTGTAACATAAATTAACTGTTTCATTTCAAATTGTACAAATTCACATAAAAAATCGCTGATCACAAAGAGAAAAATGAATTTTATATATCTGAAATGAAATAACTCAATCAATCAATCAACCAATCAATCGATAAACAAATCAATGAATCAATCATTTGGTTAATGAGTAGGAAAGCAATAATTAAAACTCTTTCATAAAATGTAAAATATCATTGATCACAAAATTTTGTGCATTAAATCAATCAAAAATCTATAACCTATCTTTTTTCTAAACAGAAAAAATAAAGAGAGAGAGAGAGAGAGAGGGAAAAGAAAAATTAATTTGTTTTCTACCAAAACACACCCAAAAATAAAAAACAAAAAATTTAATTAATGAATAAATTTAAAAAAGCGAAAAAAAAAAATAATTAAAATAATCAAATAATTTTGTGCTATTCAATTTTTTTTTTCAAACATTAATTATTCATTTAAAAGAATTAATAATGAATTAACAGTATTATATTAATATATCAATAATTTAGATTGAATACAACTTACAATTAAACTATAAATTAAAATAATAATTAATTCTTTTTCATTTGAGATGAAAAGAAGAAAAAAAAACAGAGGAAAAGTGTGATATTATGGGTATGGCAAAGAGATAGAAAATAGTCACAAAATGCTTATAACTAAAGTTATTCAAAAAAAATAGACAAAGATTGATTGCTATTGAAGATATGAAATTATTCAATTGGATGAGTGTAGTGAAGGGGAAAAAAAAATTGAAGAATCTTTTTCTTTTTTTTTTTTGCATTATTTTTTTACCTCAAAAAACTTTATGAAAATCATTATAGTATAATAAAAATTGAGATAGTATGTAATTAAGTTTTTTTTTTTTAATTTATATAATTTTTTACATAATTAAGATAATTAAACATTAAATTTATATAAGTTTTTTAAAATGTATAATTAAGGTATTTATATAAATTAAGATTATTTTTTTTTATATATACACAATTAAATTTTTTTCTTGTTTTTATAATTAAGATAAATTAAGCATTTTTGTTAATTCTTTTATAATTAAGATAATTAAGCATTATTGTATATTTTTTTTTAAATGTATAATTAAGCTATTTACATAATTAAGATAATTTTTTGTACACATAATTAAGTTTTTTTTTTACTTTTATAATTAAAATAAATTAAGCATTTTTACTTATTGATTTTTTATAATTAAGATAATTAAGCATTAAATTTTATATAACTAAAATAATAAAGCATTGAATGTGCTAAAAGATACATGTGATGAACTTTTTTTTTCTTTTTTGAAAAATTTAATAATAAAGTGATAATAATTCTTTATGATATATTTCTTCCACTTTTTTTTCGTTTTTTCTTTGCATTCTTTAAATAAATGATAGAATTTTGAAATTTGAAATTTGAAGAAAAAATTAGCTTTAGAATTATAAATAGTAAATAGACAATGTAAATAAAAGACAAAATGTAGTGATGTTATCAGTTTTAATTACGATAATAATGATAAGCAGATTAATAAATAAGAGAATGGTAAGTTAAGTAGGATTATAAATTCATTAAAAATATAATAATTCACTGAAGAATTAATTAAAATTATAAAATCTATTTCATATTATTTCATATTAATATTCAATTGCTTATCACTCGAAATCGAATTGAATGATCATTGATTTTAGAAAAATAAAATACAAAAATTTTATCATTAAATTAGCTAAGTACACAGGGATCAATCAATAATGATACTACAATTATGTGTTGAAATATTTCTTGTAATGGTGAAATAGAAAAAGTTTAAAAAAAATCAAACAGCACTTTGTTATCGAATTAATTTAGATCAAATTTTTTCCCAAATTTAATCAACGATCTAAACATTAGCAAATGCAGTAATCAATGATCTATTTGATAATTATAATACGAAATGATCTGTTTAGTAACCATAATATAAAATGATCTGTCTGATAATCAAAAGACAAAATGATCTGTCTGATATGAAACTATGGAATGATTTGTCTGATAATCATAATACGAAATGATTTATCTGATAATCACAATATAAAATGATTAGTCTGATAAGCACAATAAGAAATGATCTGTCCGATAATCATAAGACAAAATGATCTGTCTGATAATCATAATATAAAATGATCAATCTGATAACCGTCATACAAAATATGATCTGTCTGATAATCAAAATATGAAATGATTTGTCTAATAATCATAATACGAAATGATTTGTTCAATGTTCTAGCAAAATATCTAACCACGATATTATCAGTAATATATACTAAATAAAAAAATATATCGATTGATTTCGATTGATCAATTATGAATGTATAATTTAGTGAAGCATATTCAGTACTTTACTAAGATAAAACAATAAGATTGCAAGGAAATTTAAGAAAATAGAAATTGCTGAACTATGAATCCATGAAGGATAACAACTTACCTCTTTCTCTCTCTCTCTCTCTCTCTCTGTCTTTCCCTCTCCCTTCCCCTCTCTCTTTTTTTTTCCTTCCTCAAATTTCTCTTTAAAAAGAAAAAAAAAAACAAGCATTAAAATAGTGAAGTTTAGCTTAAGATGAATTCTAAAAATTACTTAATCATCAATCATCATTGAGAATAGAACTGATAAAATATGACACTGTTAAGTGAGATCAAATTTAAACGTACAACAGATTTCATCTCAACTAAATTTTTAACTTTTATGACGTCAATGGATGTGATTGAATTGATAAGTTGAAGAAAAGTGAGAGAGAGAGAGAGAGAGAGAGAGAGAAAAAAGCAAGGAAAAGGGAAAGAATTAAAACAAATATTTTCTTTTCGTTTATTCTAAATTTAACTGAAACAATATGGCTAATACTTTTGGTTACCTACGAGAAAAATATTATTACAATGTAATTTTGACTAAGAAAAATTTTCTCTTTCATTTTTCATTTTCTCTCTCTCTCTCTCTTTCTCTCTCTCTTTCTCTCTTTATCTTTTTACTATAGCATCATATAAACACATTTGAAAAATGGATTGCCTTTGGTTATTTCAAGTACTAACTATTTAGTTCAAAAAAAAAAAAAAAAAAAAAATATCTTCATTTCAAGAAACACTCTTTTTAAAAAATATTACTTCAAAAAAAAAAAAAAAATACAACTTGAAAAATAATCACATCAAAAAATTGTAATTTATAAAATTATCATTTTAGATTCTGTTCTTAAATATTTCAAAATTACCTCCTTAGTTTAATAATTAATTTTTATTTATTCTTTGTATTATAAATTTTTATTTTTTATTTTTTTTTTGGTATAAATTATAAAGGACATAAAATGTGTCATTAAATCAATGAATCAATTATTAAATTTTTTTTAAGTTAGAAAAAGAAAAACGAAGATTAATTAGTCATCAATAGATAACAAAATTTTAAATTTGAGAAAAGAAAATCTATAATGGAACTGCGCAATTTAAGCATTCCATTAGAGCTCCAAAACTGGATCCGGAAAATGTACCTACAAATTCAATCATTTCCGTTACTTTACACCAATATTGTCATACCGGAATATCGGAATGTTAGAATTTAAAAACGTTAATTGTCCGTGAAATACCACGCATGCATCGCAATTCCTTTTTTTCTTTCTATAAATTGCGTGATTTGCCCAGAAGTTGGGTAATTGTTGGGTTTCATTCTAGTTGTGATCGGTTAGTCTGATTTGGTATTTTGTTGGGTGAAAATTGTTATAAATACAGTCATCGTTTGTATACAAATCTTAGAAACTTCAAGAATATTGATAAGGTGATATTGATAAATGCTGATTGTTATTGATAATTATTTGACTTTTTGAGGTCAAATACTTTTGATTATATGCCAAAAAGACATAATTACTGAATGTTGTCCAATTATAAAATTTAAGTTATGCATTCTTCTAGTTCTGATTAGATTCGTTAGAGTTAAACTGAATTTTTTCTCCGAAAAATACTGTTGCAATCAAACTGATATGAGAACTGTAAACTACAACTTAGTACGTCTGTAGTTTCACCCTTGATTACGTATCTTAAAAAAAAAATCTTGATTTTGGCTTATTATTAGAAAAATGTTAGTTTTACTATATTACTATTACTGCATTATTATTATTATTATTATTATTATTATTATTATTATTATTATTATTATTATTATTATTATTATTACTTTACTACATTACCATTATTACTATTACTTACTGTTATCACATTATTATTATCACTATTATTATTGTGATTATCGTTATTATTATTATATCATCACTATTATTATTGTTACTATTACTACGTTGTTGTTGTTATTATTAGTACTAGAAATACATCCGCTGCATGTGAAAGCATAAGAATGAATGTTAGATGGTAGTGAAAAAAGAAATAAAATGAAATTTTCTATGTCAAAAGTTATACAACAAATAATATCGACTGTATGACTTTTTTTTAAATCAGTTTTTTTTTTTTTTTTTTCAGAAATTTAGTCAACTATGGAGGGTATGCCACGTGTACCGATGCTTACGCCAGATTTAAAATTTTGTTTGGCATCATTACCAACCAATTTTTCATCGCAAATTAAAGAAGTTAGTTTTTTTTTTTTTAAATAATTTATTATAATTCTGATTACTGTGA